CTGAGCTAAGTGCCATTGTGAATATTTCCTAGTATATTAAAAATCAGTCATAGATGAGCATCTATTGTATTCATGAAATTAATATTCAAGAATCAATAATCAGATAAAAAAGTAATTAAATACAGAGAATTCAAAATATTCTGACCTGTAAAAATGAATCAAAATGCCTAATTTTTAAAAGCACTTTTGTTTGGTAAGTAGCAATGGGAATGGCATTCCCTGGTAGGGCATCGAAAGTGGAGGAAGAGTTCCCCTTGTAAAGATTCTGACTTCTGGTTTTGATAAAGGTCTCCAGATCATTACTTCAAAGTTTACTAAAAATATAAAAAATGGTTGCTGGAACTGGGTATGTCTAGTTTAATGAAAAGAAGGACATGGGGTGACATGATAGCAGTGTTCCAATATCTCAGGGGCTGCCACAAAGAAGAGGGAGTCAAACTATTATCCAAAGCACCTGAGAGTAGGACAAGAAGCAATGGGTGGAAACTAATCAAGGACAGAAGCAACTTAGAACTAAGGAGAAATTTCCTGACAGTTAGAACAATTAATCAGTGGAACAACTTGCCTCCAGAAGTTGTAAATGCTCCAACACTGGAAGTTTTAAAGAAGAGATTAGATAACCATTTGTCTGAAGTGGTGTAGGGTTTCCTGCCTAAGCAGGGGGTTGGACTAAAAGACCTCCAGGGTCCCTTCCAACCCTGTTATTCTATTCTATTCTATTCTATTCTATTCTATTCTATTCTATTCTATTCTATTCTATTCTATTCTATTCTATTCTATTCAGCTGAAGAATGCATCATCTGGCTATAACATGTCTTCTCACCTGTTCCTTAAATTATTATTTTCTCTAATGAGCTGTTGGAGCACAGTGATTAGAATGCAGTACTGCAGGCTACTTCTGCTGACTGCCGGCTGTCTGCAGTTCAGCAGTTTGAATCTCACCAGGCTCAAGGTTGATTCAGCCTTCCATCCTTCCAAGGTGGGTAAAATGTGGACTCATATTGTTAGGGTCAATATGCTGACTCTGTAAACTTAGAGAGGGCTATAAAGCAATGTGAAGCAATTTATAAGTTTAAGTGCTATTGCTATGTTCCAAAGGTACTGCATGTTATGTTTTATAAATGTAATTCTTTTCCAATCAAAATACTGGAGAAGTCATTTTAACAAAGTGCAATAGGGGGTAGACATTTTTCTTTCTCCCAGAGCAATATTGGACCATCTAGTGAAACATTAAATATACATACACGCACGTACATACGTACATATGTATGTACGTACGTACATACGTATGTATGTGCAGATGGAAAAGCAAATGTAGATACTGTATGGGAATGAATTATGAAAGCCTTACAATATAACCTGCCCAGGAGTCTTCATTTTTCATGACGCCACAGGAAATTTTATTAATTTTTTTCTGAAACTTTTAAAAGTCCTTCAGAAATATCCATTTGGTATTACTGTTTAACTTTCTTTCCACTACTAAATTCAGGAGATGCTTTTTAAACTGGAAAGCTTAAGACAAATCTAAGAAAGCTGAAGACAAATCTAAAAAACTTCAAGCAAGAAGTTCTTAGCAACTGTCCACACCTTTTGGCCAGTTTCCCATACAGATCAAACATTCTTAGAAATGAACATCAACTCTATGTCTCTCGGATGAGTTTTAACAAATACAAAGTTTTAGATATGGAACCTTCCTTTTCACCCTCACTCTCACTAAACTCAGAGTGTAGGCTAATGTATAGAATTGAGAGCTAAGATGCAATAGAATTACAATTATATTAGCAGAAGACTCTTTATCTCTTAGAGACATATTATAAAATTAAAAAGTTTAAAAAATAGATCTTTTTTATCCCAGAAATGTAGGAAGAAGGCATATGTTTGATAAAAGAAGGTCCAATCTTCAAAGGCTGGGAGGTTTGAGAAAAGCAGAAACAAACCAGAGTATCCTGGGGTGAAATCAAAGTTGTTGGGAAAGGAAGAGTATTTGATAGGATAAATTGGAGGCAAAAGAGTACTACTTGTGAAAGCTCAGGAATGCCTCCCTGGATCTCTGGCTATGCCTAGGCATGTGCTTCAGAGAATTGCTTTGGAGGATGCTCTTTGAGTGGATGTGAAGTAATTCCATGAAATCAGAATAGCCAAAAAGAAATATCTGAAAACAAAAAATGGTATAAGCCTTAGAAGCAGGGGTGAAATCCAGCAGGTTCTGACAGGTTCTGGAGAACTGGTAGTGGAAATTTTGAGTAGTTTGGAGAACCAGCAAATACCTCCTCTGGCTGGTCCCAGAGTGGGGTGGGAATGGAGATTTTGCAATATCCTTCCCCCCGGAGTGGGGAGGGAATGGGGATTTTGTAGTATCATTCCCCTGCCACACACACCAAGCCACGCCCACCAAGCTACACCACGCCCACCAATCCATGCCCACAGAACCGGTAGTAAAAAACATTTGAAAATCACCACTGCTTAGAACTATAGACAAAAAAGGAAGGTATACATTTATTTTAGCTTGAAATGCCTTTTGCAGTGGGGGGGGGGAGATTATTAAACAGAATCTCTTCAGAATTTAGAAACCATTTTGTTGCCATAGACATGGTACAAGCCCAGAGTCTATCCACTTCCATTAACTCTCAGTACCCAGGCATGGCAGCTGGGAGGAGCTGTCCAAACTAGTCGGTGCTGGATTTCTGATGGGCTCTTCTTATCTTCTCAGGTGCATGTTATAACAGCCTCTTGTTTTCCTTTGAAAGCTATAAAGCAGTATGAGCCAAGCTGAAAGATTCTAACATTGTGTAACATTTTGTTTGCAGTGTTGTGCAAGCAACTTGCAAGTGTTGTGAGATGTTGATTTGGCATGTTTCAGAAGACTAGGCAACAGCGGCTGAGCTGAGCATAGATTATAAGAAGTAAGGTTATAAGAGAAGGACACAATACTCATAAGTCACCAAACACTGGTTACAAGTTGACAAAAATATGCCCCTTAGTGTAAGTAAACTAATACATTTCCTTATGCATCAGCAAACATCGAGTCCTCAAGTGTTAAGTAATTCTAAATCCATGTTTAAACCTGTCCCAAAGCTTCAGTAAAAAGTGACAGATTGGACTCACTTCACAGAATCATAGAATGGGAAGGGTACATCAGTTGGAACGGGTCATCGAGCAAGTCCCTTGCTCAAAGCAAGGATCTAAATTAAAGCCACTCAATGGCTGTGCAGCCCCTACTTGTGGTGGTGGGAGGGAGAAGATTTCTTTTACTTCTCTGGCTAATTGCCTCCCCTGTTAAACTGCTCTTAAATTAGGAAGCTTTTTCTAACATCCAGTTGAATTCTCTCTTCCTGTAACTTAACTTAAAGCCGTTATTCCATGTCTTATGTTATGGAATGATGGATCAGAGGTCTTGACCTTCTGTGTGACACTATTTCAGCTATTCAAAGAATGCTATCATATGCACCCCCTGTCTAACATTCGGTTAACATAGAAGCTAAGAGCTGGCACAGTCCTTGTGCTGTCATGATTATTGGAAGCCAGATGAGTCTTTGGTTGAGAAAAGACTAAACCTAGCTCACAAAAGAACAAATTAACATCCACTCCACCCAGGCCTCTACTGGGCTCAGTTGAGGTCCTGAGGGCAGGCACTTTTGTCATTCTAATTCTAGTCTGCCCTTTACAAAGATATTAATGGATACCCATTTCTGGGTATGTGGAAAAATAGGTCAACATGCGTGGATGCATGGGGAAAATTGTATTTTGAGATGATCGAAGCTAGGAATAACCCCCAGGACTGTGCCAATTGTTCACCCAGGCAACTACTCTGTATAGCCAATAAAATCTAAGTTTGTTTTCTTAAAGTTTTTTAAACATTTGCAGATAACGGAATATCCTGTGTTTTATTTTCTTCTGAGAAATTGTTGTCGTGAAATCATTCTACATTTTATGGAAGTGGCAAAGGTTGTTTTTAAATTAGTTTATGATTTTATTTCCTTAGTTTAGAAATTTATTAGTCATCTTACAATCAAACATGCTAGGCAATAAAAGATATATATATATATATATATATATATATATATATATATATATATACACACACACACACACACACACACACACACACACATATATACATATATACACACTCCAATATAATGAAGAACAAAGCCATCCTGCTTGTGGTTAAAACAGCAAAGAACAACAGACCATATTTCATAATTTCGAAGGTGGGCAGAGAGAGGGAAACTATTGAAAGGTCCTTCATCCCTCAGCATATGAGGTGCATTTACATGAAACAGGGCCGCAAAGATTGTCATATGGCTTAATAAAAAATGAAAGTTGATAAATTAAGCCACAGTGTGCAGATAACTCTAGGAATTGTATTTCTCCCTCCGAGGAGTTGAGAGCAGAACAGATGCCGGTCTTCTCCTCTTCATAATTGTGTTTTGCAGTACTAGCCCTCATTTTTTCTGGTGTTGTCTATGTCCACTTAAGATTAAACCAGATTCATTGGTATAAATTCAACCTGACCTGACACTTGTGCATTCTCCCCAAAACTGCACAGAACACCTCACAGGCATAATTGCATTCAGATTATCCATAGTAATTTCAGGCATCTGATGTTCCTGGTTCCTACAGCCTTTGAATCTACCTTAGAGTCAGATCAGAGATTCGCTGAGCGAAAGGCAGCGTTGGCCTCCTTCCGTTTATTTTTTCTTCTTCCATGATGTTTTCCTTCTGCCTAATTTGTTTTTTGGCAGGTCAGGAATGTTTGTGGCTACTCCTCACACTGGATTGCCTATGCGGCGATGTGCCCCATGGGAGTAAGAACCTTAATTCAACAGTTTGCATAAAAAGTGCCTCTCTGCTTAGCGGAACATCTTGGCCCGCGCATGACTAAACGCACATCGCCTCGGAATGCACTGGCTTTCTAATTTTATGAATGACTCTATTCATGCGGCCCCTCCTACCTTTCCCAAGTCCCACCCCTGGAATGTTTGGAAGTCCGCCACCGTTGCTATTGGCTGACAGGAGGTTCCTATTGGCCCTCAGCCCGGTAGGTGGGAGGGCCTGGGGAAAATATAAATACAGAAAGAACGGAATAGCACTGTAGGTACTGAAAGTAGCATAAAAGGGGGTGTGTGCCAGGGTCCTGAGACCTTATAGAGGCAAGGGATCTGGGAGACTATTTTGCATCAGCTCTCAATTCTGTCTCATCCCGATCCTTCATCCTTCAGGAGTTTGCTTTCCTGGTGTGTTTGCTTCTCTCCTTCAGCAATAGTCGCCCTCTTCCTGGCCGTCTTTTCTCATCGAACAGGAATGAGAGTGGCTGCCCTGACCCTCGTGGCTTTCCTGCTGTGTTTCTCTCTGGTGAGTAGTTTTAGCTAGACTAGCCCTTCGATAACTGAATTGGGGGTGCCACATTATTGTCAATATGACAGTAAGCAATGCTGTCAAAACAGCTGAAATCATAATGGGGTTGGATCAAATAGCAATAGCACTTAGACTTACATACCGCTTCACAGTGCTTTACAGCCCTGTGTACAGAGGGTTTACAGAGTCAGCATATCCCCCCCCCCCCGCCAAACAATCTGGGTCCTCATTTTACCGACCTCGAAAGGATGGAAATTCTCATTAAATCCCCAGTAGCAGATTCTAGCTTGCTTAGCCCCCAAGGCTTCCCTGCGGGGGAATTTGGCTGAGTCGGATCATACCAGGTGACGGGTTGGGTGTACTTCCATTCGTGTTCCGGCTTCATCTGGCCACCGAATTCGGCTTGACAAGAGTAACAGAATGACGGAAGGCGCTTTGGAGGTCGTCTAGTCCAACCCCCTGCTCAGTCAGGAAGCTCTATATATCATTTGACGTCCGAGCACTTGCTAGAGGTGTTCCGTAACACCCCAGGAGGGGATCCGGGGCCAAACTTCACCGCCTGCCTAAAGCCGGCAGCTCCACGCCGGTCGAGATGGGGAATAGCAACAACCCGTCGGGGGTGCGCAGCGGTTACGTTTTCCTCCTCCGTCGATTCCCAGAGGGGCAGGTCGCACGGCCTCCGCTGCCTCACGCTTTGATTTGTCTCCAGAACTGGATCCCCGCGAGGTTGACGGAAGGGAGACCTCGGCGCGGTTGGTGGAGGGTGGGGAGGAGAGAATGCCGGGACTGCGCGGCACGTAGCGCCCTCTAGGAAACGACTTCGGTGTCGCCTTTAAAAGGGGGGGGGTTGGGTGGGGGTGGGAAGCCACGGGTGGAAAAGCGAAAGCCTTCGCTCCTGAAGAGCCAAAACGCAGGAAGGGGGCTTCGTGGGTTTCTTCTGAACGTGGAGGCCGCTGGGAGTTGATTCGCTGGACGGTTTTCCTCCCAGGGCTGCCGAAAGAACTGCCTTTCCCGGCCGCTCTCGCTCTTTTTGCAGGTCGCGGGCCGCTGCCCCCTCCCATGCCGCTGCGCACCGCGTCCCCTTCGCTGCCCTCCGGGGGTCAGCTCGGTTTTCGACGACTGTGGCTGCTGCCAAGTGTGCGCCCGCCAGCTCAAGGAGGACTGCGATAAGCTGTCGCCCTGCGATCCCCATAAAGGCCTGGAGTGCAATTTTGGGGCCGACCCCTTAGCGAAGCGGGGCATCTGTTGGGGTAAGAGGCGCGTTATAGCCTTAGCACGCATGTGACCTGGAGCTGGAGGAGCCGTTCGTAATTTGGTGCTTCTAGATGAGGTGTGTGGGGGACCGCTTCCTCCCTTCCCAGCGATCATGGACAGTGCAATGCTGGAAGAGGCCCTCTGAATGACAGAAGGTTGGAGTTCCAGGCTGGCCTTGTTGTATGTCTAAAAATCTACTGCTAGGAGAGAAGTATCAGTGGCTTATTTTTAGCAATTTTTTTAAAAAAGTCCTATAAAACAATTGTGTAAGCTTTTATATTGGGATTTCTGCATGTTCGTCCTATTAGAATACCCTATGTTAATAATTAAGAATTTCAGTTCCAGGCTAGAGTTGTTGTATGTCTAAAAATCTACTGCTGGGAGAGAAGTATCAGTGAGTTATTTTTAGCAATTAAAAAAAAAAGTTGTATAAAACAATTGTATAAGCTTTTATACTGAGATTTCTGCATGTTTGTCCTATTAGAATATCCTACGTTAATAATTAAGAATTTGCAGTGAGGTTTTAAATGATTCTGGCTCATAATATAGTGTTCACCTCAGTGACGTTTGTGATTAAGCACTATAAAATGCTTGACCTAGTGAAAAACAGATTAGTTACCCTCAGTTTCACAAGATGCAGTATTTTATTTGGGTAGCAGGGAATGGGTCCAAAATCCATCTGTCTTAGAAAGATGCCTTCATTCATTGCTTTGTGGTTGATTTGATAGAGCACAATCTTTGCAAGCCAAAGGTCACAATATGCTAGATGACAGGTGGAAGGCTTATAGCACCACAGCTCATCAATGTGTGTAGACAGGTTTGGCTAGATGGACCAATGGTTTAACAGAAGGCAAGTCTGTTTGTTCAGGCTATTTAGCATATAAATCTGAGCTGGACTGATCTCCATGCCCAGTGATATTTTTTGAGAGATGTTAAGTGAGTTATTGGAAATAGGGAGATCATTCATAGCTAATGAAGATAACTTGTCTAAGTGTGATGGAATGTGCACCTGGAGGAGTAGTGGGAGAGTTTTGGCAACAAAGAGCTTTTCCAGAAAGAGGCCCAGATTAAGAGACTGCACAGTCCTGAGCTGGATGCGGAAAGGGGAAAGTGGTTCAGGATAATCACACCCTAGAATCTCTCAGGATACATCTGTTAGGTTAGAAAGTTACAGCTTTAGTTTGGCAAGAGTCTGTCCATTAGGTGCAAGCAAATAAAACATTGGACTTGATTGGATCTCAGTGTCTTGTCTCTGGACTTGGACCTTACAGTAAGTTTCCAAAATACTGTGTGTCTTATCCCACCTTCCTCTAGATTACTGGCAAATAAGATCACTATGTAGCACTTAGTAACTTCTGTGCTCAATAGGAGAGTAAGAGATCGGGGCAGTGATAAAAATCCAGAAATTTGAGAAAAGAGATATTTTTAATAACTATGCAGAAGTGAAAGTAGAAAAAATGCACATAGAAAACCAGATTGCCAGGTTTGATTCTTAGCAAGCAGAGCAGATGAAAATTTTTATTTCCATAGGTAAGACTTCCAGGATCTACATACTTGTTGGACTTGCAGACTTGCTTTAAAAACTGTGACTTCCAGATGATCTAGCTCAGGGGTGTCAAACTCAATTTCATTGAGAGCCGCATAGGGTTGTGTTTCACCTTTGGGGTGGGCATGGCCAGGGTGGGCATGGCCAGCTCAACGTCACTCATCGAGGCTCTGTTTTTGGCCGCAACAGCTGGCCAAGGCTCCGTTTTCAGCCGCAATGGCCTCCTGCAGCTCTCTGCCAGTCAAAACAGAGCTCAAGGAGGCTATGTGTGGTCTGCCTGGGCTTCGTTTTCGCTGACAGAGGGTTGCAGGAGGCCATTGTGGCTGAAAACGGAGCTTGGGAGGGCCACATGCAGCCCTCCCAAGCTCCTTTTAGCTGGCAGAGGCACCACGGGTCGGTCTTTCGCTGTTTCTAGAGTGGGCTGCGGGCCAGATCTAAACACCCCATGGGCCAGATCCAGCCTGCGGGCCTTGAGTTTGATACTCCTGATCTAGCTATAGCTTCATATACCCAGTGGAAAAATATACAGGAAATAAAAGAAACCCTATAAGCGCATATAGAACAAGTGAAAAAAAGAAGACAATGTTGCAGAACAAGGAGATGAAGACCACATCCTTTTAGGCTAGAATTCTTCTCAGCAGACCCTCCAGCAGAAGGCCTCCAGCCCTCTCCCAAGCCACTGCAACCTGATCCCAGGCGGTGTGTGCTTTTCACATCCTGTTTTCACATGTCTATTTAAAGCTCAGAACACTCGCCTCTTGTTGACGTGGCCCCTAAAAACCCAGTTCTGCAGATAAATATTTTCCTCTGATTTCTAATGGTGATAGCCAGGGATTTGCTGTGTTTTTCACTTCTGCATCATCTAACTCTTGGGGTTTCGGGTACCACTCCCAGCTTCAACTGAGGTTGTATGTTAGCGCAGACCAATGGGATGTGACCTTGAAGTCTTCACAGTACCTCTTGGTTATTTTTCTGGTCTGTGTGAACAGTGCTCCCTGGTGACTATGAAGGTGAAATCCCAATTAAATATAGGTTGGGAAATCTTTGTGCTGAAGTTCAGGATGATTTAAGACTTCTTTCTGCAGCTAGATCAAAGGGTCACATGTATGTATGTTTGAAAACAGATTAATAAGAAATTACCTGGCCTGGGGGAGGAAAAAGGATGATTAGTGATAACTTGCTCCAACACAGTACCTTGGTAGTTCATGCAATTTGTAACTTCTAACAGGATCCTCTCTTATAAATGTGTACGTCATATATGATTACACTTTTAAACACACAACTACTAAATGGGAATGTCTTTTTTCTTCCCTTCCACAGCAAAGCAAGAAGGTCGGACCTGCGAATACAATGGCCGTATCTACCAAAATGGAGAGAACTTCCAGCCTAGTTGCAAACATCAATGCACTTGCATTGATGGAGCGGTGGGTTGCCAGCCTCTTTGCCCATTGGAATTACCTCTGGCTTCACTAGGCTGTCCCAGTCCCCGGCTCCTTAAAGTACCTGGTCAATGCTGCAAGAAATTTGTGTGCAGCAAAGGACCCAAGAAGTACAAAGGTGTTACCTTTGAGTACGACTCAAATGGAGAGGCCAGAAGCAATGAAATTATCTATGTGGGCAAAAGTGGACACTGGAAAAACCTGCCAGGTGAGTGGGCAGAAGACAAAAACTCAGCAAAATTGAGTTACTCAAGCCCTACCAGGGTTAGTGGGTATGTTCAGTTAGGAGCTTTAATATTTATATTGGTAAAATTGAGAAGAAATCATAGGGAAAGAGGATTTTGCAATTTATAATTGCTTCAAAGATCTAGATGGGGTAACTATAAGAGCACAAACCACCTAAGACTAACACCCACCTATCTCACGTGGAATGCTGCCAGAGAGCTAATTTCCAGACGCAGGGCAAGGCCAAATTTGGCACAGAGTCATAAACAGACTTTTCCAATCTTGAATCGGCCAGATGAACTAATTGCTTCCTGCAAAAGCTCAGGTCCCAATCACTCTTCTTTTATGTCTTATGGGAGGGGCCAATCATCTCCAAGCCTTACTCCCAAGTTGACCCTGTTTCCTTAATTGTTCTTGTCGTCTGGCAGCTCTGCGCATGTGCCCACTGGGAACAGACTCCCGCTATTCTTCTGCCTCGCTGCTGTCAGACTTCGGAGGCTGCACATAACTATCAGATGGCCTTGGCCCCCTCTCTGCCTCCGATGCAGAGCCCTTATCTGAGCTTTCAGGACTGGCCCAAATTCCTCCCCAACCTCCTCACGGTCCAACTCTGCTGCCAGCTCCGCTGGCTGCGGGCGGGCCACAACACTAGGCTCTCTGCATGGTGCTACTGTTTCAGGACAAATTTATTGTTTTTGAAGTAGTTTGTAGGAATACTTTCTTTTACGATTATATAATGGAAATAAGACTTTGTAGGCCTACAGTAGGTATTATTCAGATTAGGTTAATGGGCAGTACATGGAAAACCGCAGCAATATAATCTAAATGTGACCAGATATGAAGTCAATAGCCAAGGCAGGCTCCTAAATTTGTTTGCACTCTCGAAAGTTCGTGCTTTGAGACGATAGCATAGAATAGAATTCTTTATTGGCCAAGTGTGATTGGACACACAACAAATTTGCCTCGGGTGCAGAAGCTCTCCGTGTAGATACAAGCAAAAGATGTGCATAGGATATAACGAGCTGACCTTAAAAATAGTTTTGTTTCAACAACAAGAGATTAAAAAGCTAACCTTGTGTTGGGAGGTGATCCTAAGTAGGATGGGAACATTAAACAAAAATAGGGGTAAGAATGGCAGTAGCCTGTTGCCCTTTTGGGATCTAAATCTGATGTTCCTCAGGGTCATGAAATGTGATACTTTATTTGCATTTTGCTTTGGTTTCCAGATGCTATTTGTATTAAACATGACTGTGGTGAGGGTGGGGTCAGAAAGCACTGCATCCATATGAGGGTTTTTTTTCCACCTGATGTCCAGAGCATAACTTTCTCAAGATCTCAGTGGATTGCAAGATAATTCTGTGGGTTTTTTTTTTTAAATTAAATTTATATACCGCCCTACTCCCGAAGGACTCAGGGCGGTGAACAGGCACAAAATAAAATACATAGATACAAAAGTTAGAAACATAATTAAAACCAGATTAAATAATTTAGCCTGAGACAATTAAAAATCCCAATAATTTAAAACAGATTAAAATTTCGATTTAAAAGAATTTTAAAACAGGGGAGAAAATTAGGCCAGGCCAGCTTGCTGGAATAGGAGGGTCTTAAGAGCACGGCGGAAAGTGTGCAGATCCGGGATCCTCCGTATCTCTGGGGGGAGCTCGTTCCAGATAGTGGGTGTACCTACAGAGAAGGCCCTCCCCCTGGGGGCCGCCAGTTGACATTGTTTGGCTGACGGCACCTGGAGGAGCCCCTCTCTATGAGAGCGTATCGGCTGGTGGGAGGCTGTTTGTAGTAGTAGGCGGTCCCGTAAATAATTCATTCTCACATCCTGCTTGCTGCAGCACAAAGATGGCTGATTGTTTTGGTGGAGCATATCCTAACGGCATTACTTCCTTCTCATCTCCAGCCCATAACTGAGGCAACCCAGACCCATTCTTAGTTGGAAGAATTTTTTTCTTTCCCAGTGGAAAACTTCTTATGTAATATGCAGGCATGTCATGGAGTGGCATGGTCAGGGACATTGTCTGCTCAATTCCAATTGGCTCAGGTCAGCCATAGGAACACCTCTCCCCATCAATTGTTGGGCACTGGGCCTCCCTGAGTATTTTGGTTTTGGCTGCAACCTGGTCTTTTTATCTTTACAATATCGGACTCCCAGGACACCGATAGATCTTCAACCAGGAATCTTGCTATCTGGTATGAGTGTACAGTGTGGATATGTGTGTGTGTTGAGAAGATTGTAAATAAATATATAAATTAGAAAAAGCCTAAGAGGCACACATACCCTCAGGGAAAGGGGAATGGGAGGAAGAAAAGATCAAAAATGATTTGCAGAGGAAATTGGCTTCAGAGAGGGAAAATAAAAAAAATCTGGAGGCAAATGGTGTAAAGGCACAATAACATTGAGTTCTTTCTGGTTCAGATATTTCTGCATTTCCAATGAGCTCTTCTGATCTCTCAGACAGACTTTTTGGGTGGGGAGGCACAAATTCTTTGATGTAGGCTAGAATGTATTTTTAATTACCATTCTATAATGCTTTCATAGATGCTGCCATCTAGTAGTTAATTGGATCATTGCAGGCTTTATAGAGGATTGTGGATTTCCTGGGAATTTGATGTTTGTCAGAAGCATGTAGTAAAAGATAAAAATTAGATGCTGATTTATAACTCCACTCTGCACATGTTCAGGAGAGTGATAGGTGGCTGATTCTTCTTCTGGAAAAACTAGCAAGAAATCCACCAGTCACTGTCCTGAAACTACTTTGTGTTGAAAGTTGCATGAGGGAGCATCACTCTCCATTCATGTTGCTGAGTCATGGTGAAGATACCATAGTTGGTGGGAGCAACACCATTTATCTCAATATAACTTCTTCCCAGAAGAAGGGAGCAGGAAAAAAAAACATGGCTGTTAAGAGTCAGCCCTGACTCTTGCTTAATTTTCCATGCAGAATAGAAATAAGAAATGTCCCCAGACAGTCTTAACATTATAGGAGTGTGGAAGAGGAAGGCAGATATGAGGTGGGCCCCAAAGTTTTAAACACAGAAAAGTTGGTACCTGAACCCTAGAACTCAAATTCGGTTTCTTTTGTCTTCTTTCTTCTGTTTTCTATGCTATAACCATCTGATGCATGGTTTGGTTTGACCTCTTCATGAAATGCCCAGTGGAGTAGCAGAACTGCCACAGAAGCTCTTCTTGGCATAAGAAGATTTTCACTGGACAAATCTGAACATCTAAATGATGAATTGCTCAGTTTCCGAAAGTGCCAGCCCTGAGCTACTCACTATCAGTGCACTAATGGCTGCCCACTACTGGTCCATCAACAGCATCTTGTTGTTTGTAGTCATTCCAGTTGCTGGGATGTTGTTTTGCTCCCTTGGGATCCCTATGATGGTGAAGTAATGAGATTTTTTATCTCTCTCCTCAGCATGGAGACCATTCTTCCAGGATCAGAATACCAAGCAAGAGCGCAAATGCTTGGCCCAGACCACACACTGGTCGCCGTGCTCTAAAAGTTGTGGTTTTGGCATCTCTACTCGCATCAACAGCAATAATCCCCAATGCAAGCTGATCAAAGAAACCCGATTGTGTCAGGTCAGGCCCTGTGAGCAGCCTGATTTTTCAAAGCTAAAGGTGAGATGGCAGAACCAAAAGAAAAGGAGGGCTAGTGTTGGTTACAGCAGCCTTCCCTATTGATCTTAGCCATATATCACATCTGTGTGGAGTTGACAAGAGTTGCAGTCCAAATGGGGAAGAGACCTTAAAATTATAATCCAGTTTCTGGAAATCAGAATGTATATATTAATATATTAAGTATAAATTTTAAAATATGAGTTTCCTGAAGCCAGGTATTGAAGAGGTTCTGGGTAAGGAATGGGGCAGTGGTGAAATTCATAAATTTTCCCCACTGGTTTTATGGGCGTGGCTTGGTGGCGTGGCGGTCATGTGACCGGGGAAATCAACTATCACACTTTACACAAAAATAACACAAAAGCTACACAACTGACCCACACACAGAGAAAAAGCAGCTGGACTTCACACAAAATGGCCCATGCAACAAGCAGGAACCTCACAGAGAGTTCAAAAACAAACTATCACACTTTACACAAAAATACTGGTTTGGGCAATAGGTAGTAAAAAAAATGCTTTAAAAAGTGAAAAAAAAAAGTTCCCACGATCGCGCAGCACAGCTGATTGTCACAGCTGATTGTGGGAACTTTTTTTTTTTACTTTTTAAAGCATTTTTTTACTACCGGTTTGGGCGAATCGGCCTAAATTGGTAGCATTTCATCCCTGGAATGGGATATCTAATAATAGAAGTCAGCGTTCCCTAACCAATGCTGATCTGTGGTTCTCACTTCAGGCACCCTAATTAAATGTTTGATTTTCTCCAGGGATATTTGGGAGAATATCTCCAGAGTTTTACTGGCCATGTTTGTAGGGAGTTTTGGATGGGTTGCTGCAGTGCACTACCCTGGGGAAAGATGTACTAATTCATAGCAGTCTGGGCCCGAGACAGGACTAGATGGGTAGCATTAAATGCTTTCTCTTTCCCCCCCCCTTTTTTTTTAGAAAGGCAAGAAATGTCTGAGGACGCACAAAGTGCAAGAGCCAGTGAGATTAAGTCATGCCGGTTGCAAGAGCCCACGTCGTTACCAGCCAAGTTTCTGTGGGGCCTGCCTGGATGGCCGCTGCTGTGTACCCCTGCGCACTCGTACGCTAAATGTACCCTTCCATTGTCCTGATGGGAGCACTTTTAGCAAGAAGGTCATGATGATCCATACTTGCCAGTGTGGGGCAGCTCACTGCCCGCTGCTGAGTGAAGCTGCCATGGGCCCCCAGTATCAGCTGAATGGGGACATTCACAAATTCCTGGAATGATGGGGCATGCCGACCTCTCTGCTGGTGGCTCTGACGGAGTTCCCAAATTACTTTGGATCGTCCAGGCCCCCTGCTTGATCCATGAAGCTAAAACATGCTGTAGTTGCTCTGCTTCCCTGAATGCTAATCCGGAAGACAAAATGGCATTTGGAAATGGCCTAACCCTTCGGTATTTGGAAAATGCATTGAGCCATATTGGGAGTATGGCTATCCAGTGACTGGGAACGGATCGAATGGCACTGATTTCAGTCTCTCTATTCAGTCCAGCCAGGCTCAGGCTGGAACTGAGTCTCATACTACTATGGTAGTAGAAGATCAAAGACTTCTGATTATTATTATTTTTTAAATTTCATGGCCCTCGTGCTGGAAAGGTTGAGGAAGCACAGTATTATGCAGTATTGTTAGCTGGGGGAGGGGTGTGTGGTTCAGGTTGCTAAATCCCAAATTGGGCAGTTTTGACAGTTTCAAGATCCCAGAATTTGGAGGAAAATAGTACATTTTAGGTTAAATAAGAGTCAGCTATGGTTGAATAAGCTGTCTTTCAAAAGAGCCATAATTCTGATGAGTTTGGGATCTGGCAATAAAACCTTAAAGCAACCTAATGAATGAGGAATGAAAAGGAGATGTGAAACAAAACTCAGATAACAAAGTATGTATTCCCTGCCCTCCCCTCCCCCCCAGGCTCCTGTGATTTTTCTGACCAACTGGCCAGAAAGAGAAGCTGATCGAGTCTTCTCTCCCTTATCTCACCATTGTTTACTTCTGCTCCTTGGTTTGCTTCCTCCTCGTCCTTCAGTTTGAAATTGGCTTGCTAGTTTGCCCATCTTTACATCCAAAGGCTGCCCTCCCGACTGCCCACAGTGCCCCCTAATGGCAAGATGTTTTCAGGAAGGAGTCACATTCAATGACCCAGCAGGAAGGGAAATCCGTATAAAGACGCTGCTCTCATCCATGGTCTACTTTCAATCTTCTCTAGTTTGCACTCTGTTAGGCTACCAGACTGCTGCTGCCAGTCTAGATTTTAAGCTTCACATTCATGAATCTCAAACGGGAAAAACGAAATTACTTTATGGGCATGTTTTAAAATGAGTTAAAGTAGAGTTGAAAGAGGTTTGTTCCATATGTGCAGCCACTTTAATCTCTGCTTTAAAAACTTTGTACAAAGATGATAGTTGCACAAAGAATTATGTGTTGGGCTGCAGCAGCGGAGACGTATAAAAAGCAGCATTTGAGATACTGTCCATTCTCCAATCAACGATTAAGCCGAAAAGCAACCTTTACAAAAGCACTTTTAAAAAAACAAACATCCTATTCCAATTCTGTTCCTGGTGAACAGCAAAAGTACAGCAAGGCTGAAAAAAAATTCAGGGCACAGTATTAGAAGGGACTTGAGACATTTTGGGGCAGTTAGGATAACCTATATTTATACGGGCAGCAAAGCTCTCTGCTCTGAAGATTATTTTATGGAATATTTTTTTTTATTTTGTTTGTTTTGCATAAAGAAAAACTTCAACAATAGACTGGAGTGATGGCTATTTAGCTTCATAATGAAGCCTTCTGTGCATTATCTTTTGTATGCAAAGCTTTTATTCCTATTTAATCTTAGGGTTGCTACAGTGATAGATCAATGTTTATCATTTTAGTCTCTGTTTTATGACCCTTCCTGCTTGATAGAAGGCTCTGTAGCAGAAAAACAGGATACTGCCCTTTCAAAATGATATTCCAAATGGGCTTGATGTAATGCTTCCAAAACAATCTTATGCCAGAGATAGACGATGGAATGGATATATCTAATGGACGTTGATTTGACTTTATCATTTGTAGGCATTTGATGCCCACTAAATCTATTCTGCCATAATTAACATCAACCGAAGTCAAAATGAATGGTGGCAAAGAATTGTGGAACCACCAATGGTTCCCAATCTGTGGAGGACAAAGGTCCTCCAGGATGGGTTGTAAGGTATACCCATGAACATATACGCACAGCCCAAATTTAGAGAGATTACAAAACCTTGTGAAAGGGTGTTACTGCTGACAACCACATGAGATTTTGACATTCTTTATTTTGGCTTTTTATTTTAAGATTAAAACTAATTTTTATTTTGTTTAGGGATCCCATGTACCATGTGTGTTTGGAGCAGGGGTCACATACCATGGTGAGTGCAGGCACTACGTGGCTGATCTGTGGCTTGTGTGGCAGTCCTCAAAAAAAATCCTTCCATTGTAGGGCTTCAAATTAAGGAAAAAATGAGAGTCACTTGGAAGGCACCAGCATGTTTTTGATTCTTGGAACCATCAACTCTGAATCTGCATCTCTCTCAAAAGGACTTTAGAGATGGTTATAGTACAAGTAGCTGACTATTCTTGGGCTGTGGAGATTTGAGCATTGCTATGCTACTTGCATTGGAATTGTATTTTGGACTTTTCCCCCAAATCTGTAAGGGAACAGGCAGGACCTGGCCTTATTTGGAATGCTTCTGCTATTTTAAAATATATTTTATTCAAAGCTATGCTGATCCTTTGTTTCAATGAAGATAATATGGCTATAATTCTGTACATTGTCATGTCCACGAATGAAGGCAAATCTAAGTGTCCCAGGATATTGTTGTAAGATCCAATCTGAGTCGGTCACCAGGACCAGAGTTTTAGTCTTCCAAGCTTTCGGACTCCTGCTGGAGCCCATCCATTGTCATGTCCCTTTCCCTGCCCTTTGGTGGAAGATATACAACCCCTTAAAGAAGAAAATTGAGAGAAGTAAAATACTTCTGAATATCTGGAGCAGAGCAAGGAATTCCTGATTCCTTCCATATAAACCTCTCAAACACTCCTCATTTTGCAGAAAACATCAACAGGTATTGACTAATTAACTGAGCAATCTCTCAGCATTTGGGAGCACAGCAGCAGAAGGCAGAGGCATAATTGTTGAAACAATGCCCGTTTGGAAAGACAAACCACCCAACCTGCTGATGAGTATTGCCAAGTAAAGCAGTCCTCATGAGTTGGAATATTCAAAGGCAATTTTGCATACTATTCAGCCAAACCCTGTGTGGAGTTTTGGAAGTCAGATTTAAATGTGTTTGCATCAGAGATGCAGGTTCAACAGTTTTTTTTTAGATCAGCCCTCAATTTGTGGGACTCATTGTGCTGCATTTCTGTAGGTAGGTTCCGCTGTGTACTTAGCAGAATGCAGACTTGCACATATACGCATGTGCTACTAAATTAGGCCCACAGACCCTATTTCTAAGGAAACATAGTTACCAGTATGTCCTGACATAGTTAGCCAGAGATTAGAAGGATCAATAGTAATGGAGTACCCCCCCCAACCAACACTATTAATACCACCTGTATACAGTCCCTACTGTGTTACAATTACCAGAATTCTTTAATCTTTTTTCAATTGTGGAAAAATAATTGGAAAATACTAGGCTGGGGAAGATGTCGTCCATCAAATGTTGTTGAATCAAGATCCTGTCAATTCTAGTCAACATGATAAAAACATAGGAATGAGTTGAGGTTATAACCCGACATCTATTTTTTTAAAAAAATCACAGCAGGATTATTTTGTGCTAAAATCTACAGAGATCAATGTTTCTTTTGTCCCTCTTTGTTCATTTAGTATAATGATTAAACTGTTGGATGAAGATAGAAGTTGGGTGAATAACATTATCTTCACCTCAAAGAGATGTTATGAAGATAATTTCAGAGCAATCCTACGTACTAAATGCAGCATAGAAACCAACGTATAAATAGATAATGTTTACATGGATAGATCATTTATGAATTGTAATTTTAATTTTAAATTTTTCTTTTACTTTCTTCTTGGGTTAGGAAGAGATTGGGAAAGATGGCATAAATTATTATATTATATAATATATATAATTTTTAGTAAAGGAATTTTAAAATAATAAAAACAATATAAATTTTGAGAGAAAAAAGTAAGGAAAGTAAGGAAAAATAATAACTGAAAATGTGCAAAGAAAGAAAGAAAGAAAGAAGATAAAGGAAAGTTATAAAGAAGATATTTCTGATTTTAACAGCCATTGCAAATACCTTTATACCCTCTCTCTATGATTACAGCAGAATTTGCTTCTATCTTTTCCAATCATCAAATCCGTAAAGCAGCAAAAAGTCCATAAGTGGTTTCCAGTCACAAATCAATATAGTTATTGTCCTTTCCCTAGTCAGGCAACTAAATTTCTTGATCTCATAAGTCTGTTATCCTCACCAGCCATTCCTGAATTGTGCATATTTCAGAGTCTTTCCATTTTTGTGCATATAATCATCTTCTAGCAGTGATTGTATGCAGGGGTGGGTTCTACTTACCTTTACTACCAGTTCGCAATGTGGCCATGCGCTCTTCTGCACACGCGCAGAAGCTTCTGTGCATGTGTAGAAGCGTTCTGATGACGTCAGGGTTGGTGGGCAGAGCCTCCCGCCGGTTTTACTACCAGTTCTATAGAACCGGTCCGAACCGGGGGCAACCCACCACTGATTGTATGTAAAAGCAACTTTTTTTTTAAAAAAAAATTCTAATTATCTATCCATTAGTTCCAACACGAAAAGTTCTGGTTTCAATTGAACAGCAGATTACCAAGGATTTTCAGTCTATGATCCAGGTACCCAAATACTGTTCTTTGCTGAGTTCTTTACCTAAACTATACGTCAGGGTTCCAAGTAACACCCCTAAAGAAAGAACACTCTGAGGCTTGAGTTTCCTCAAAGTTCCATTTTATTAGAGATGTCATATTGGCACGGGAAAACCCGAATCTGAAAGTTTCCAGGTTTTCCCCACCCAAAGGAAAGTTCAAGTTCCTGCCCAACACCCACATGTCCGTCACAGGGCCCAATCCAAACACCGTGGCAACTGGAGATGCCTCCCACTTCCAGCTTCCAGATGCAGGGCAAGATGTCCTTGACTTTCTGAGAAAGGAATGTTATTATGACTATATATCACCCCTGCTCCATACAATCCCCCCTCCCAGTTTCCCAGTTGTAAAAGTGGCAGGCCTGAAGATCCAACGGAAAAGATGGCTTCCAGGCCTGACACTATATTTATGATATTGTGTGTTGATCTCCATGATCAATCAGGAAAGACAACTTTTAAGTATTCACTCTAGGACTGAGATCTGGTTAAGAGTGCTAATAGAACTTGTGAAAACTATTCTTTGCTATCAAAACTATCTCAAGAATCATAAAGAGGGAATAAAACAAATGAAAGGCTTTCAGCAAAGTTTTGTCTATGTTTTAGTAGGCAGCTTCACCTATCATAACACAGAGGCCCCAACTTTCTTTGTCCTGACTTTGCATGTAGACCATTTAGTTTCTTCTCATAACTGCCCTCCCTTCTCCAATTATAACAGGAATTATAGCATAAAACATATCTGTTATATTATAGTAATTATAGTATTTATCATACCCTGTTACAGTAATACAAATCCTGGGGCTTCACTTCCTGCGATATTGCTCCCTGTCCTTGTAGAGGCAATACAGTTGCGCCCCTTTCTGGATCGGGACTCCCTATGCACAGTCACTCAAGCACTCATCACCTCGTCACCTCTCGTCTGGACTATTGTAACGCTCTCTACATGGGGCTCCCCTTGGGGTACACCCGGAGGCTCCAGCTGGTGCAGAATGCGGCTGCGCGGGGGATTATGGGAGCGACGGGGCGCTCCCATGTGACTCCTCCTGCGCAAGCTGCATTGGCTTCCGGTGGACTTCTGGGTGCGCTTCAAGGTGTTGGTGATCACCTTTAAAGCACTCCATGGCTTAGGGCCAGGGTACTTACGGGACTGCCTTCTGCCACCAATAGCCTCCCATTGGCCAGTTCGCTCCCACAGAGAGGGCCTCCTCAGGGTGCCGTCGGCTAGACAATGCCGGCTGGCGACCCCCAGGAGGAGAGCCTTCTCTGTGGTGGCACCTATCCTTTGGAACAATCTACCCCCAGAGATACAAGTGATCTCCGACCTCCGGACTTTTCGTCGGGCCCTAAAAACTCATCTCTTTCAGTTAGCCGGTCTCTCTTGATTTTATGATTTTATGGTTGATTTTAAATTTTGATATGGATTTTAAATTGATAAATTTTAAACTATGGGCCAAATTTAATTATTTTAAATCTATTTTTAATCGTACTTTATGTATAAATGTTTTATTTTGGCTGTTCACTGCCCTGAGTCCGAAAGGAGAAGGGCGGTATAGAAATTTGAATAATAAATAAATAAATAAATAATAAATATCTCAATCATTTTCTTCTTCCAATAGGCAGCAAGAGTTGACAGATTTTTAGGTAAGGTTGAAGGACAGTCAGATATAATAATGTTATATTGATATATAACATTATATGTATAATAACATATATAATGAATATCATGCTTTGGACCTTCTTCCAAACAATGAGATAATTTTAAGAAGCAATTTTGAAAACTATTTTCATTAACTCTTCTATTTTGCCATGTCAACAAAAAAAAATGTATTTTTTTTTACTATTTATATATTACATATAAATATTAATAAATATTATTAAATATTGATATATATATAAATATATATTATTTATAAAAGAAGATCAGGATATTTTCTAAGATAAATAAGCAATTGGGCGGCTATTGTAATGTTTAGGCTGGGCTGGAGGAAACATTCTGTGATGGGGAAAAGTTCAGTTTAGCACAGGACTGTCAAATTCCCGGCCCACGGGCTAGATGTGTCACACACTGGCCACGCCCATGCCTGGTTTAGCGAAGGGGGAAAAAGTCATGCTGCATCACGCTGTCATGATGTGAGTTTGACACCCTGGTTTAGCATGTCTTCCTTTCTGCTAACATTTTAGCTTCTGGGTTACAAAGATGCGTAATTTTGCTCATATACTGTCAATAGTTAACATGTTTTCTGTTATCTTCTGGTTTCATGTCTGCCTCTTTTTCTGCTCATTCATATTCTCTCTTATGTAAATATTTGCAGTGGGGGGAAAACTACATTAAAAAGATCTGTGAAAAATGAAACATACGTAATGTAAGTAAAATAAACTTGGAACATTTGCAAAACAGTTGAATCTCAGTTCCTTTGGCATTGTTGATATAATTAAACCTTATGTGTAATTCTTGAGAAATAGTATTAAATCTGATAAAATTCAAGTTCTGCTTTGAAAGCACACCTGAAATCAGTGAAAATGCCCTGGAAAGCTCACAGAGAACATGAGCCAGTTCAGAAGTGAAAAATTCTATATGTGAGTAAGTAAATGTAGACTTGACATTTTAGAATAGCAGTAGCAAGTTATTTACCAGTTTACCTTTGCCTTTAAAAAGGTAACAACAGGTGGCAGCCCTTAGCCAAATTTGACTAGCTCGGAATAGCAGGGCTAGTTCTTCAATGAGAGGCTATCAGGAATCTTGGTCAGAGACTAGACTTGGGAGCTGAGAATAAAATATTCGGAAGAAGGTACTGCTAAACCATTTCTGTCTCCTGTTGCCAAGAACACAATATGGTCATTCATGTTCACAAAGTCACCAAGATTTGAGTTTCAGTCAAAGGAGACTTTTTAGTTACAACAAAAACAGACAAAACTTCTACGCTAATTAAAAATGGTTAATTTTAAGTGATTACATTTGCTTCATCATGGGTTTGTAACGTGTGAATAATAATAATAAAAAAAGAAATACAGGAGGAGGGAAATGGAAGACAGCACACCTCTTTCTAAATGACAGTGGTTTAGTCTTTGTACAGGAAGCTATTGACTTATGAAAATAATCAAGTACAGCTGTTCTTCCCAGATTCTTTCATAGAACTATCAAAGACTAAAAGCTGTTGAAAGCTAAAGCTGCCTTTCAGCTGGAGGGAATACTTTGTGTTTTACCAATTAAATTTATGCAATATTTCATACTCACTACTGTTGGAAGACTTAAAAGACCAGGTTAGAGACAAATCCTCCCAGACAATATCTCTGTGGTTGCTAAGAGTCAACAACGACTTGATGGCAAATAACCAATCAAATAGTAACCACGCTAGTCACTACTTTTTCCTAGAATTATACATGCACAACAGGATTGTAGTAAAGCCCATAAAGGTGTATCTAAAATCATTTGCAGTTTACGTGGAATGCCTTTGGGGCGGGAGTTATTTTGGACACGTCATTTTCCTTATTGCGGAATTTTAAATTAGAGAATTAACTTAGATGAATATATATTAAGGGGAAAAAAAGAGAGCAAAGTTTACGCGTGAAGGCGCCCGCAATATCCTGAGGGCGTGGATACTGATTCACCTAGGATCCCGTCTGGCCTATCAGATGAGCTCTTTGGCCGAGCCTCAACTCCCTTCTCCGGACAAGTAGAGCCTCCTCACGCAGCTCTGCCCCTGCAGGGAGGTGGGGATCCAGTTTAACCACTGAAGGCCAGTTTATTCTTGGGATTTGCGAAAACCCCCCTCGCCTCCTCCGTTCCTTTGCAAGGAATCCTGTTCACACTCCCAGCCACAGACCGCCGCGCTGTTCCCGGGTGCGTGAACCAGACCTATTTTCTACGCGACTAGGTTAAGAGGTCTTGAGAGGTCGCCTCCTCGAACTGCGGCAGCGGAAGGGTTAATGCACTCCCTCGCTTCTCCCCTTCCCCTTTTCCCCCCCTCCGGCTGAATTGATCTATTAACCAGCTGCCACATTAGCTGGGGTGGGGTAGGGGGGTGGGGCAAAGGGGGTACAATAGCTGCTTCTTGCAGCCGGAGACAATCGATCAGCTCAGCCCCGGCCTCTTCGCGGGAGTGACATCATCCCTTTCCAAATACCAACCGGCGCTGCTATTGGCTGGCCAGGTAACCGAGCTGGGCATTTCTGCTTTTCCCCCCGCCCAGTGCCTACTTTGCGGCGGCGGCGGCGGCGCTGTTTGCTCGTCTTCTACACACGCCCAGTGCGAGTGGCCGCCGGTACCAGCAAGCGGCACCGACCGGCCTCTATTATTAGAGTTCTCTCACATCTACGCTGCACGAACGGTTAGCGTTGCTTCCCGCCGCAAGGCAAAGCGAGGTAAACAGCCGTCCACATGCACTGGGCTGGGGGTGGGGGAGGATGCCGAAGCCGAAGCTCCGGGGCTGGCGAGGCGGTTCCCGGCCGGAGCCGGAGTAACTGCAAGCAGGAGGAGGAGGAGGAGGGGGGAACGGAGGGACGCTGGATGCCTCTCTGTGTCTTCCCCCTGGCTTGGCTTGTGGGAAGCGGGGGACGGGCGGGTGGCGTGGCGGAGAGAACTAGGCGGCGGCCGCCTCGCGTCTAGAGGCAGCTCGCCTGCAGGTGCAGCGAGAGACCGAGCCGCGCCTTGTTTTGGGTGGGTGGGCTGGGATTGTTGGCTTTGTTAAACTGGGCAGTTTTTGCACGGCTTCTTTGCCTTCCGGCCGAAAGGAAAGTCTTGCAATGGATCCGGAGTCATTTCTGGCCACGAACCCCGCTTGCCTTTATGGCTACCCCGTTGGGGGCGGGTGGGAAGATTCGCGTTTTTTTTTAACCCCGTCAGCTTCCATCGCGCCTTTGCCTATCTTGGTTGCTGCCCTGCTAAACTTAAAAAAAAAAAAAAAACCCAGCCATCTGGGTTTGTGGCTGGTTTGTTGGATGGATTGATCCGGGGTAATTTTGAGAAACGGAATTCAGACGATAAGTGCTGAAAAAGGGGATGGGGGTCGGGGAGAAGAGTCTTGGCGGAGAAATAAAACAAAAAACAAAAAAGCGGGCCGCCGGAACAGTCCCCATCCCTCGAAGTCTCCATTGAGAGTATTGGGGGGGGTGTGTCGGTCAGAGGCGCGGTCGCCGGTCCGTTTTCTTTGTTAAGGGAGGGGTCTACGGTGGTAATGGGCGGCAGCCTCGCCCTATGCTGCTTTGTTGGAAAGAATAGTTATTTTTTGTTCCCCTCCTTTTTGAGTAAATCTTTAAAAAAAAAAAAGAGTATGTATTCCCATAGTTAAAAAAAACAAGCTGAGCGAAATTGTTATTTGCTCATTCACCAGCATCCAATTGATTTTTTTTTTTTAAAAAAAATCTTCACACAGGCTCTTGCAGCTTCCGTGAAACAAAGGAGTTGTGCTCTTCTGGGAGAGAAATATATAAAGGCTCTTCTAGTCTTAAAATTGCCCTTAAACTGGGGATATGTGAACATTTTGTATTAAAAATAAAAGAGTCCCTGCTCTTCTGAGTTGGAATAAGGGCTATAGTAGCTAAACTATAGTAATGATAATAACATGCTGAGTAGAATTGAAGCAAAATGGGGCTCTTAATGAATTAGCAGTTCTTAAAATGATGTGAGCTGTTCTGAAGAAGAAGAAGACACTTGGATGGTTAAAATAAATGGATGCTTCTTTAACCTTTAACCTCATATTTTCCAGCTGGCACTTCTAGAGGGCACTGGGTTGGGAAAAGGTGCCCTAACTTTGTTGCCAAAGAAACAGAATGAAGGATTTAAAAAAGCATTGATGAGGCCAAGAATGGTGGGCGATGGAAAAGAGGCAGTGTTTAAACAATTGATTTTAGATAGTGGTAGGAAAGAGAAAATGGTTTCCAACTGGAACTATTGACAGCAGATGATGGGAAAGGTTATAAAACTTAGTTCAAGAAGGTCATGTGAAGAAACACAGATATTGCAATGGATTGTGACTTAAGTGTAAGGAAATGGTGCTGCAGAGAAAGAGATCTATTAAATGCACTCTGTTCGCACTGAACAATCCTTTTACTGGCTCTGTTTTGCAGCAGCTCCCCCTCCCCACCCCCCAAAAAAGACAAGAGCTAATGCTTGGGAGTTGTTTCCACTGCAAGAACCAAACAAATGGATGAGATGATTCAGCTGACTCCTTTTAGTAGAGGCAACTGAAGAAAAGCAAATGCAGGCTCTGTTGCCCTTGGTCCTTCATGGCATTGAGTAGCTGTGTTCTCCCAAGTGGGCTTTTGGACCCAGTTTGCAAAGCCAATTAACACAGAGACTAGATGTTGGAAACATGGGGAAAAATATGGGTCCAGAATGTTAAATTTACACAGTCGCAGAATCTGAGGGAAAATTTTTATAAAATGTTTTATAGGTGGCATTTAGATCCTAAGAAATTATCGTGTATGTATCCTAATGTTCAACCAAAATGCTGGAGATGTGATTGCTTAGATGCCACATATTATCATATGTGGTGGACTTGTAAGAAAGTGAAGGCTTTTTGGATAAAAATTTGGTGGGTTATGCAAAATGTTTTGAAGATAAAACTTCAGTTTTCTCCACAACTGTTTTTATTGGGTATAGCTAAGGGTTTTACATTGGATGAAACAAAGCTGATATTGTATATGGTGACAGCAGCGAGATTATTGATAGGTCAATATTGGAAAAGTGATGCTATGCCCACTATTGAAGAATGGACTTTGAAGATGGCCAGTTTTGCAGAGATGGAGAAGTTTGCAGCATATTTAAAAGACCGATCTCAAGAGTCTTATGTATGGGAGTGGAAAAAGTGGATAGATTATGTGCAGAATAAATATCAAACTAGGAAATATCAGATAGCTTTTAGCTGAATGAATGTATTATGTAGGGATAGATTAATTGAGTTTTATGAAGGTATAAATAGTATGGGGGTGGAGGGGTTTAAGTTTCATAAAATGTATTTTTGATTAGGATTTTATTTTGTGGAAGTCCTGGGGGGGAAGGGGAGGGTTAGGGAGGGTTTGGGGTTTTTTTGGGGGGGGAAACTGGGGAGGAAATGTATTTGTAAAACTTTTCACATAAAAAAAAAACAAAAAACACAGAGACTAGAGATTAAATGATTTTATTTATGTGAATAAAGTGTAGCAGGAAAAATGTTCCAAAGCATGTACACACTCTAAGCTTTGGATAAGCTTAGGGTGGATTCTTGCAAGGAAACAACATTAAAACAATTTCTTTTTCTGTACAGCTTTGTTCACAGACACTCATGCCTGTGTAACCTCTCATCTGGATTACTGCAATGTGCTCTACATGGGGCTGCCCTTGAAGAGCATGTGGAAGCTTCCGAGTGGTGCAGAATGCAGTTGCACCCGTAGCAAATGGTGTCAGATATTCAACACATGTAACACCCCTGCTGCTTGGGCTGCCTGTTTGCTTCCAGGTGCAATTCAAGGCGTTGGTTATCATTTTTAAAGCCCTTCATGGCTTGGGAATGGATTACCTAAAGGTCCATCTTCTCCCAGTGGTTTCTTTCTGTCCATCTCAGTCTGTTATGGGTCCTGTCAATCAAGGAATATCTGCTGGCAGAGATCAGGAGACCTGTCTTCTCTACTGCAGCACCATTCTCCCCTCTGAGATTAGGATAAGCCTGTCTGTCCCTGCTGGCCTTGAAGCCCTGGCTATATGCCAAGCCTGGGGCCTCCAGTGGAGTTCTTTTTAATTATTTTTGTGGTTTTTTATGCTGCTTAGGGTCACTTGTTTGAGGCTACATCTATGGAGATTCTCAGGCATCTAGGTCATGGTTGTCCCAAAGGTGCTTTTTTTCAAGAAGCAACTGGACTTTCTTTGTTTTCCCTTGAAGACGTTTCAGTTCTCATTCAAGAGCTGCTTCAATTCTGAAGTTGTTGAAACTATAGAAATAAGATGGATATAGAAATTATACCTGTCTATCCTTCCATTCCCCTCCAGCACCACTATCACAACTGATGACGTTTCTTGGATGAGAAACAAAACATTTTGTCGTTCTTCCTCAAGGAAAAAAAAAGTCCAGTTGCTTTTTGAAAAAGCACCTTTGAGACAACTATGACCTCGGTGGCTTGAGACTCTCCACAGGCTGTAGAAATAAAATAAAATGCCATAAATTAGTAGGTCTTTGATCACAGTGATGTTTGTTTTACTGCCCCTCTGTTCTCACCATAAATGTTAATAGGAACCTACAATTAACTTGTTCTCAGCTTATCTCTTTCCTACGGAAATTGTCTGTTAGCTCCCAGTTATCTTATTCAGTAATGGGCAGAACAATCACGAATGTCTTTTCCTCCTCCAATTCCAGCTGCACATGGAGCCATAACAGCTTCCTCCCTTTTTATTCCCATGTATTCTATTATCTCTGTTACCCTTCACAACTCTAAGCTACAAGGGCCTCTCGTTGCCCTTTCTGGATCAAATCTGTGAAAAGGTCATGGTTGAAGGATAGCTAAGTAAACTGTTTTACTTAGCTATCCTATCCAGCTAAACTCAGCTGGGCAGAGGAGGGAATAAAATACATTCTTGATCAAGTAAGGGGGATGGTGTGGTATCTTGTGACCCTGGTTTACTATGTGTATAAAAAGCTTTATTGTGTTAATTAAAATTGCATTTCCATGTGATGTTCTCTCACTTCTGTATGTACATTCTGTATACTGAGGTTTTCCTGTGAATTTTCTTAAATTTCTGCCTTCTAATTACTTAACCGGTTTCCTTCAGTCACTGGTACATTTGCCAGATGCCTTTTTTTCCCCCCCACACAGCAGCTTTCTTCAGTCTTGGCCCATCCTTTCTCTAGAAGTAGCTAGGTTGGCTGGAAAACAGTGGAAGGTGCATTCCCAACACATCTACACAGCATGAAGATCAGGATGTCTTGTCTTTTTGTGTGCTGTACTAACAGTTGCCATGAATTATCTCAAAATTCTTGGGTATGCAGGTTGACCATGAGGCTGATCACTCAGATGAGGATTGGGGAAAATAAAAGAAAACCAGGGATGATGTAGTTCTCCTTTGGGTAGTCCTAGATGTATAAGTATTGCCCTTTGGTTACCAGGCTGACTTTGGGTACTTGGGTTTTTTTTTTTTTTAATTTGATTTATATGCCGCCCTTCTCCGGAGACTCAGGGCAGCTTACAATGCGCTAAGCAATAGCCTTCATACTTTTGTATATTTTATACAAAGTCAGCTTATTGCCCCCACAAACTGGGTCCTCATTTCACCTACCTTAGAAAGGATGGAAGGCTGAGTCAACCTTGAGCCTTGGTGAGATTCAAACCCTGCAGTAATTGCAGGCAGCTGGTCTTAATAACCAGCTTAATAACAGGGTGCCTTAAACCACTGTACTACCAAGGCTCTTGGCAACTTGGGTTGGCATGACTTACGAGATCATATATTAGTAGCTAGCAACACTTTGTATTCTTTTTGAAAAACATTTTACTAGGATGATGGGCCAAAGGAGCCCAGAGATATTCTGGTAAAACTAGACAACAACTTTATTCAATACAATTTCCCATGAACTAGTAGAGAAGATGACAATGTGGGCTGGACCATGTTACGGTTTAATGGATACTAGAGCTGTTGAACACTAGTACATCAAAGGAAGCACTGAGTGGCATATCACAGGGTTCTGTTTTAGGCACTGTACTATTGAACATATTTATTATTTAGATGGTTATTTAAAAATTGTATTATCTTTGCAGATGATATTGGGGGGGTAGCAAAGTCTTTGGAGGACAATTTCAAGACTGAATGGGATCTTGTACAATGGAACATCGGGCGAAATTTAAAAAAAAATAAATTTCAGTAGAAACACATTTGTTTAAATTTATTGGCTGCGCAACTCTAGTGGACTCTGGGCAACATACAAAATTTAAAAATCATAAAAACAGTGAGAAATGTTAAATCAAAAGGCAGCCCAGGATAAAATATTCAGAAAACAAAGCCCACAAAACAAAAGAGGAGAGCTATTAACAATGAGAACTGTCAACCCTAGGCCTGGGACCAGTGCCAGGTTTTTAAGGCTTTCCAGACTCCTAGGAGAGAGAGAAAACCATCCTTATCTCTTGGGGGAGGGGGGATGCTGTTCCAGTGGGTGGGGGCTGTAACAGAGAAGGCCCACTTTGTAAGTCCCACAAGATAACCATATTTAATGGAGGAGACCTCAGTGCACCTACTCTGCTTCAATGCAATGGGTGGGCGGAAACTATTGGAGATAAGTGGTCTCACAGATATCCAGGCTCTATGCCATACAATGTGAATGAAAAGTGTTACATTTAGGTAGGAAAATTGGAGTATAGTGAAGGATGACAGAGACAGATGTAGAAATATATCTGAATGGCAGTCATGTAGAATATGTGACAGGTAAAGTTGGTCCAGAAGACATGGCACTAGAAAATGGTTTAAATTAAATGGGAATAGATTTTGGTTGGACATCAAGAAAAATTTCCTAAGCTGCTAAGCAAGGGAAGAGATTGTTTTGGGAGTTTCAGGAAGGGCTGGATAACCTTCCTTTGGGGGGTATTGTAGTTGTTGATTCATGCATTGGATGAGAGACTGCATGTGATAAGGGTGATCTCTTCCAATCCTGACCTTCCGTGATTGTGTGATAACTGCAGCCTTGCTTATCATATCCTCAAACCAAATTAGAGACTAGTTAAGGAAACTTGTCCTGCTAAACCCCTCACTTGGAGTGCTTTGTGTTGAAGGGAAAGATAGGATATAAATGTGGTGTATTATTATCTGTCTGTGTATGAGTAGTAGTTGGTCCAAGCAGTGTACATGTATGTGCTATTAGTGGCATGGACTCCTTTCTGCATTCAAGGTAGCCTGAATCCAATAGTTGCTGATTCTGCTTCTTGTTGTAATTAGTGATGTTTCTGCTTTATTTCATGGATAACAATTCACAAATTAGAGATACTAGGGGCATAAGTAAGATCAACACTAATCTAGGGAACTGTGCTGTGTGCCAGTTATTAAATTTGTATGCCTCTCACACATAAATATGCATCAATGCTTTCTGTGGTAACAATAAGAGAGAAGAAAAGCTCCCATTTCCCATTCAGAATCTCCTTTATCACTAATGTAGATTCTGGAAGGGTGAAGCCTCCTGATTCAGAAAGCTAATTGCTTCTGCCTCCCCCCATCCACCCGCCCCATATACACACACTCATGTTTGTATATATCGGACTGCTGGCTCAATTTCTTTTGCCGTGTTTTTTTTATAGGCAGTAGTACTTAGAGGAGAGCAGAAGTGTGAATATGCTGTAGATGAAAATGAATCGACAGTGTGTATAGGCATCTAATTTCAGTCTTTTAAACTGAACTTTGACCTGGGTCCATCTGTGTTTTTTTTGGAATGCAGCTCCTGACAGTGTGCGGTCTGAATGAGGTGATTTAACCTTGCCACAGCAAGCTGAAAGTCACTTTGCTCTGACGTGACCTCCCTAGAAGGTGAGTTTTGTGATACCCCAGCTATTTCGGATATGAATATTGTTGTAAAAGCCTGTGACAATAAAGTAAGGATAGTAGTATCAGTGAACAGATGACGGCATAGTCGGATTTCCTTGTGTGTTTTGTCAGTACTGACTTCAATCCAGTGGTGAAATCCAAATTTTTTTACTACCGGTTCTGTGGGCGTGGCTTGGTGGGTATGGCAGGGGAAGGATACTGCAAAATCTCCATTCCCACCCCAGTCCAGGGGAAGTATATTGCAAAATCTCCATTCCCATCCTACTCTGGGGCCAGCCAGAGGTGGTATTTGCCGGTTCTCTGAACTATTCAAAATTTCCGCTACCGGTTCTCCAGAACCTGTCAGAATCTGCTGGATTTCACCCCTGCTTCAATCCCATTTGTATCCAGTGTCATCTTCCACAATTGGCAAGGAGGATAGTCACAGTGCCTCTCTATATTCATTTACTGAGTCTTCTTGCGGGTCCAGCAGTAGGTATGGTTTGGGTCACCTTGGTCGTGCTCCTCTTTTTCAGGACCAAAGTGAAAACTGCAACCTGCCAAGCCATTCAGACACATACCACCCGCCTGGAGCCTGTGAATGTGAAGATGGATGACGGTGGCAGAGCTGCTAGCGGAGCCTCAGTTTCGCAGGCCAGTGGGGTGGCAACTGCTAGGAAGAATGTGCCAACTGCTTGTCCCCCTGCTACCAAGCAAAAGGCCAGCAAGCCCCCCCAGCCACCAAACAAGGTTCCCAACAAGAAACAGCCAGCAGCCCCTGTAGCTGCTTCTCCTTCAGTTCCTAGTGGAGCTTCCAGAACACTTGGACATGGACCTGCCCGGAAGGCCAACATGCAGCAGCCCAAGCAGCCAGCATCCAAGACTAGTAACGTTGACAACTTGTCTGCTAGAGCGACAATGAAAAAGGCAACAGGGGACAAGGCAAGTGGACTGAAGACGTCAGAAAAGATGGCTGCGGAGAAGGAAGTGCAGCAGAAACCCCCAAAAGGGACCACACAGCCCATAGGTATGCTTTGCCCGTTTTTCAGCATGGAGTAATTAATCCTGGACTTGGTTCATTCCTGCATCTTTTGAGGATGGTTTGAGTCATGTTTTTCAAAGTGTACTAAGTGTTCTAAACTTACTGAGTTGTTTTTTTTATTCAGAAAAAAGCATTGAGAGCCATCTAATATTAGCGGTTGGGAAGAATGCAAGAACTATATGGATCTCTTTTCCTAGATCACTAGATACTGGGATGGCTTTTTATAACTTGTAACCAGGCAAGCGGTATTCCCAGCATTAAACTCTGTTAGCCATAAGACCAAAATTCTGAGGATGCTGCAACTTCTCTATTTTCTCTGATGTTTCTCTAAAAGCCATGAGATTCTGTTTTAATCCTGTGAAAAAGAAACCCTCCCTTGCCCTACATTCATTAGATGATTCTTGCATGTGTTCATTGCAATTTGTCAATTGTTAAGCTGTTGCCTTTTTTCTTTCTTTCTTTCTTCCATCAGCATCTAAAGCACCTTCAACAAAGCCCAGCAGAACTGAACAGACTAAAACTTCCAGGTATCGGCTTTGGGTATCAGTTTCAGATGCACGAGTCAAAGAGTTGGGATTTTAAATGTTCTGTATGAGTGTGCTGATTTGTGCAGAAATGCCAGGTTTTTGAGGTTTAAAGCAGAGTCTTGGTGGAGGGAATAGTTGTGAAATTATGGTGGGAGCAATTGTTTGTACATCAATATAATGTATTCCTTCAGACAGGTCAGGTTGCATATATGGAAAGCATACGCATGTGTCCTATTAAAGCAGTCCTTGCAGCATATGAGTGTCATGTCTGTATCTCGTTAGAAACCTGGATTTTTGCCACTCTGTGGCACTCTGTCCATTGCACCACTGTCTTTCTGACATGATAGCAATGTGATATGACCAGGGGCGAAATTCACTTATCTTCCCTACCGGTTTGCAAATGTGCTGCGCAGATTCTTGCGCAGTGCAGGAGAGCCGCGGCCCGCAGGAGAGCTGGAGCTCTCCCCTCCCTGCATCCGGCGACAGCGGCTGCTGTGCTGCTCCTCCCCATTCCCCTCCTTCCTGAGCCAACACGAAGGGGACCGCAGCTGGCGCTGAGCTGGCTGTGAAGGACACGGAATCACAAAAAGCAACTGGTTGTGGACAGTGCGGAAAAAATGCTAGGGGCGCTTCAGCCATGCAGCTCTGCAGAGGAGGCTCGTGCCTTCTCAGGGCAGATTGCGTGACCGGGTCAGTAGGGAGCCGCAGGAGAGGAGTCAAAGAGCTGCATGCGGCTCTCGGGCTGTGGGTTGCCAACACCTGCTCTATAACAAGGCAAACCGCAAGTGTACTGTACTATAGTATACTATTGCATACTATCACTGATGCAGTTGTAAATCCAATGAGCGCACATACAATCAGTGGATCATCATCATCTTGTGCCATATCAGTCATCGGACATTGGCGATCATGTTGGCAATCCTATTTTTGTCAACAGCCACATGAAAAAGTGCTGCTGAGTTTTGTCCAAACTAGTCCCTTAGGTTTTGAAACCATGATGTTCTTCTTCTGCCTGGACCTCATTTGTCTTCAATCTTTCCCTGGAGGATTAAATGAAGGATGCCGTATTTTTCTGGGTGTCGCATCACATGTCTAAAATATTCTAACTTTCATTTTTTAATGGCTTTGATGATTTTCCTTTGCTTTCCCAGGCGGCTTATCACCACCTCATTTGTGATTTTGTTAACCCAGCTTATACATAACAGCTGTCAGCATTCCAACTCCAATTAAAAACTCAGAGGCAAGCATTTTCTCAAAGTTCCATTTATTAGAGTAGGTATACTGGCACATCTGGGAAAACCCGAATCTGAGAGTTCCGGATTTTCCCTCAGTAAATCAAAATCCCCAAAACCAACCCCTCACTCATCAGTCCATCACATGGTCCAATCACCATCCGTCCCATCTCGAGACATCACTCCAATCACTCCTCCTCCAGATGCATGATTGTCCTGACCTTGACCGAAAGGAAGAATGCTATTTTGTCTAACTACATTCCCTCTACTAAATCTCCCCCCTCCTACTTTCCCACACACAAGAAGGTGGCAGCGTGGAAGCTTCTGGTCTAATATGGGTTCCAAAGCTGACAACAGCCATCTGTAAATCCACATTTCAAATGCTTCTAGTTTCTTCAACTTCTGTGACCAGGAGGTGATGGCAATCATGAGGTTATCCGAGGAAATTTTAGGCCCTGCACATGCAGAAGGATAGATATGGTAGGCCTTGTTTTACCTCAAAGCAGCTGTCCATACGTAGAGGGAATTTCTATTATCCCTTAGCCATGATTAGATCACATCCTGGCCTAAATGAAATTGACAATCACCCTTTTGGATTATATTGCAGTCTTGCCATGTTAGTTGAGACTCCTTTTTGGCCTGTGACAATAAAGTGGATAGAATGCTTTCCAGGGGATAGCCTCTGCCACTTGGGGTCTGGATCCTTGTCCTTCCTGCATCTGTGAGCGACTGGGGAAGAGGTGCTTATGTGAATCTAGGAGGTAGTTAACATTATTAGGGGAGTGGGACTGCCAGTAGTTTGAAAGAGGAGTGAGAAAGGGGGGCTGGGGTCAGGAGGCAATGTGTCAGACAGGAAGACCAGGATTAAACTGATTTATTGCTCATGCCTATGCACAGGAATCCAGTCAACTAAAGATTAGCACTATTTGGGTACTACAGGAGATAATGGAATTCAAGGGAGGTTGGATTTAGTTTGTGGCTACCTAGAATCTTTAGCGGTGAGCTCCCGTTCCAAGCTTCTGCCAACCTAGCAGTTCGAAAGCATGTAAAAAATGCAAGTAGAAAAATAGGGACCAGCTTTGGGGGGAAGGTAACAGCATTCCGTGTGCCTTTGGCATTTAGTCATGCCGGCCACATGATCCCGGAGACGTTTTCGGACAGCGCTGGCTCTTTGGCTTTGAAACGGAAATGAGCACCACTCCCTAGAATCAGGAACGACTAGCACATATATGCGAGGGGAACCTTTACCTTTAGTATCTCTAGGCTGATTTCTTTTTTGACTCTGCCCCCATGTTCTGCCACTCCTTCTCTTACACAGTCTCAGCACCAGCCTTTTGAAATGGCATCCTGGTTAGAATTCGAGTAGCTTTTTCTGTCAGAGCCTTCTACAAACAGGTTAAAACAAGAGTTTTTTCATATAATGTTTGAGGATCGACACCATTGATAGTTACATTTATTTATATTGTTTTTCTATTATGTTATTTTTTACTTTGAAAGGTTTAATCATATATATCGGGTGGGCAAATATGGCCCCTTTATGTCCTGTGGACTTCAACTCCCAGAATTCCTGAGCCAGCTTGGCTGTCTCAGGAATTCTGGGAGTTGAAGTCCACAGGTTGTAAAAGGGCCACAGTTGCCCACCCCTGATATATATGTATATCTCTGCACCAGTATGAGATCTTAATTGGATTGAAGTAAGATATAAATGAAATGAATGGCTTAACACTAATTAGTGGTATGGTATTTAGCCTCATAGTCTCTAAAGCATTATAGTCATTCTGATAAAGAAGGAATATGTAATTTTGTCACGTTTGGATTCCTTAGAGAAGCCCATCAGCTCCTCTATTAGCTGAATAGCTAATTCAGCCTTCCTGCGACTTTTTGTCTTTCAGAAATGTTTCTGACTATAGCTTAGAATTCTCGATCCCTATGCAAAACTGGAGTGATAATTAACACATCTAAAGGGCATCGGGTTAGGAAAGACTGGATTAAACCACACCCTGAACTGTATTTGGGGTTGTGTTAGTTGCGTAGAAGTGAGGTGGTTATCTGAAAGAGAAATCTCAGTCCAGCCTTAAATGCCAGTCTCGGAGAATGCAGTTGGAAACAAAGGTTTGGGCAGAGATCAAACATTCTGAAATTCTACTTGCTCCAAATTAAGGATAATTGAATATGCACTCTGATTATATTGCTGCAATCTCACATTTTTAGCCTCAGCGAAAATTAGAAGGAGGAGGAGATGGGTGAACAGTAAAGGAATGAGAGTAGGTTAGAATATATGCCAGATGCAGGGAATCTGAAATGCATCCAGTTCAGATACTTGAAAATAATTGGAGGAAATGGCTCCATTGCTATTTTGTATTTTTTTCTCCCTTGCCCCAGTTTATTTGAATACTGGAAGATGCCATCCGATGCAAGAGGTAGGTGGGTAGCTAGAAGGAATATATTTCAAGCTATTAACCAAAATGGAAACATCTTGTCTGGTTCTTGATCTAATGGCTGAGATAATTGAAGGTTTTTTGTTTTTTTTTAACTAGTCCTTTTCTCTTTACTGCAAGTGTTAAAAGCTGGTACTTTTCAGATAAACTTGGCTCATAGACTCTGAACTGGCAAAAGCTTCAAGTGCATTTATATTGAGGCACTAGATTTCTGAGACAATTGTGCCTTCTATGTTTTCTAAGGGTTTGGACAAGGTTTTCTGCTGTGCATAATTGTTTGCTGTCTGTTTCAGGACTTGGTTGCCAGGAACAAAGAATTCAACCTCATCCTCTTTAAACAGAACTGCAACTAATGATAAGAATGTGGGCAAACATAAGCCAACACCACCACCTGCTGGTCAGGCCACGTCAGCACAGCAGCAGAAAAACACTCTGGCAACACAGAGAGGTACATCACAACACAGAATGCCTTACCAAAACCTGAACTTTGCAATGTCTAAATGGGAAAGGTCATACTTCACAGAAATATTAGATACTACATATAACTGGGAGTGATCAGGCTAAAGGCAGGTCATTATATAATTTTTTTTTTCAATATTTTTACAGTGATTTTAGTTTTCAAAACATAGAGCATTATTTTACAATTCAAGGATCATAACTCTCTAAGATCAATCAGAATTATCTACGTTGCAAATGGAGTATCAGGGCGGCAAAAGGTAGCTTCACTAAGCACACCTAGTAAGTTCTTGGCGGGGTTGTTCCACCCCTTAGAGAATTAGAACTATGTTTCCATTTAACCATTTTCCCCTAATGCTTTCCAATGTTTTTTTACTTCAGCTTAATTTCCAGTCATAGTGGCTTTTGTTGGCACATAGCAGCTTTTGTTGGTGTGACTTGCGAAGAGATTGTGCTGAATTCTAACTGCCATAACAATTGGCTAGCAAAACCACAAGGGATTGGAATAGTTAATATTCCACATCTGGAGAAGTTAGGTCACACTAAGCATTAAATACTTTAAAAATAGCCGCTTATTCCAAAAAACAGACTTGGGGCCTGCTAAGTACAAGGAGCAAAAAATTACATCATCGGTAAGCCCATTGAGAAAGGTAAGCCACTGAAGCATGACCGCTATATTATTCTTATGAATGAGCCAGTTCTACAATGGAAGAGCGTGTTCAATTGCCAAGGAATATGAACCTTAAATAGCAGAAGGGCAGAAATAGGCCTTAGGCTGCTGGAGGGGTTTCAGATATTCTGCATACATTACATGTTAGTTTTCTGAGTCTAAACAAATATGTAAGATGTCTTTTCTTACTCCAGATGCCTCTAGAGCTGCCACAGTTTTAAAGGCCAAGGTTTCAAGCTCCAACTCCTCTGTGAAGATAACACCTGCCTTAAAGCATCCCAAACACTCAGCCTCCAAATCACAATCTGAGCAAAATCTCGGAGAGAGGAATGTGACTGCACCTGTGAACAGCAGGTTTGCAACAAAGAAATTTTCAGACCCCAGTAAGCCCCAAATTCCAGCCAAGGCAACTGGTGGGAGTCTCCATCCAACCACTCTTCCAAGAGCCTTCGCTTCTTCTCCCAAACCTCTGCCTCCTTCAGGCAAGAAGCTTCTGAAGAAAGATAGTCTTTCCAGTCGTGAGCAGGTGTCCCCCCAAAAGAAGCCTCAAGAGACAATTGCCAAGGAAGGGAATGGCAAGAAAACCATCAAGGAAGCAGAAAGTGCTTCAGACAAGGATACAACGTTTCTAGAAAAGTTGGAATCTACAGCAGCAGAAGAAACTGTTGACCAGCCACTCTCCCAGGAGACTGCAAACTGTTGCATAACAGTAGTAGGGATGAAGCAGATGGAACCAGGAGACTTGGAAGAAGACAGAGCTGAACAGACAAACATTAATGCTTCAGAAGGGCTGCCTCCAGCACTCCTTGAGGCACCTGTGGTCTGCCCTGGACCACAAGATATTGGTATATCTTCTGTTAGTGAGATGCCTCACTTGACCACTCCTGATGTCCTGGAGGTACATTGTGATAGTAGTGATGAAACACATAATTTAGAGCCAGAACTCCCTTGTGAAACATCTCCTCCCATTCAGTTGGAGCTCTCTCACCAAACTTCTCCAGCAGAAACCTTATGGCATGAAGAAGGAGGCATGGACTCTGAGCATCTCAGAGAACAAACATCTCATTTTGATGCTCCAGTGGCTATTGAGCAGCCCCATTTCTTGCACAACCCTGACACATCATCTCTTGATGTACATCATATTTCAACAACATCCTTTCCAGCTGAGGATTCCCAGATTTTAATAAATGAGTCCATTCCTGTGCTTGAGAGATCTCCTTCTTCTGAGTCCTTGACCTTAGAGTCTGAATTGCTTGAAGAGACTCAAACTATAAAGCTAGTAGTTCTGGCTGAGCCACAGGAGGATCCCAGTCTTTCAGCAGAGCACTCTCTCTCTGTTAGCCAGGTTGATCCAACCTTAAACACTGTAACAGAGTCACTAGCAGTGGGCCACAATGACAGCAGTGAATTGGAAATGGTGAATAGGGTATTGAATTTGTGTCAGAACTCAGAGGAAGAACTGCAGAAGGAAGTGGTATCTCTAGAGGTAGGAAATGAAAGACATGAAAGACTGAAGAGCCCCCTAGATCTTGCAACTAAAGATAGTGAACTTACACAGAAAGTAGTCACTTCTCAGCAGATGGAGGATGTGCATTGTGTCCCTATTCGTGCTGAAAATGAAGAGCTAATGGAAGTTCTGCAAGTAGCAGATCATTTAATAATGGGAGCAGCTACTCAATACCAAACCCGCCTCCCTGTGTTTGTGGCAGCAACCTCAATTCCTACACAATTGCCTGGAGAGCCTTTTGAAGCCTATGATGATCAGTCTAGCAGCTTAGATGAATACCCCACCATTGGAGAACTTGAGGATGATGCAGTCATTCCAGAAGAATGCATGAGTAATGTGAAGCAAGAAGAGGCCACCCAATATGAAACTCCAGACTTCTTGTTTCATCCTTCAGGGGAGCTCTCACCAAATAGTGGTACTGCTCAGCTGTCAATGCACAAACCTCAGAGCTTGCCTTTGAAGAGCTTGGATTTGTTACAAGAATACCCAACTGAGTTAACTGAAATGCCAGAGTTGCTGTTAAGTAGTACAGAGCTGAAAGCTCTCTCCCCAGAGAAGGGAGGCTCATCTTCCAAATCCAGCACCCTAAGTGGGCCTGATCTAGCAGGTAAGAGCAGCAGTGAAACTAGCACACCTGAAGAGCTACGGGAGTATGACAGTAGCTCTGGAGTTGAGTCCAAATCAGATGAGAAATTGGAACAAACCTGTCATCAGCTCCTGAGTCCCTTGGAGGACCTCCCTGGTGAACTTGATCTGGGCATCCACATGGAAAAGGGAGATGATGAGGCAGAGACCCTGCCAGCAGATGAAGTCCTTGGAGATCCACCTACTGAACCCACTGTATCCTCCGAAGAGGAAGCCGAACTGGATGCAGATCTTCTGAAGGAAGCAGGCTTTCCCAAAACAGTATGCCTCTTGACATCACCTCTTCCAACCAAGTCACATTTGCCCCATTCGGTAGAGGAGTCTGATGAACCAGGTTCTGGTGATGCTGGCACAGAAACCCCAGCCTCAACCAACTCTGCAGCTTCGTGTGATGTTTTTGGTGCCTTCCATCTCCATTCAACTGACAGCTGTGGCAAAAGCCCCGGCCTCTCTTCCCTGGACAGCGAAGAACATTCCACCGAGGGCACTAAGGAGACCTGCAGCAAGATCCCCATGGATTGGGAGCAACACTTGCACCTCACCCCAACGCCCTTGAAGACTGGAGGGCACGAAGAAGAATCGTCACAGCCTTTCCCTGCCGCTCATAGTCTGGCTGCAGGTAATGTATAGAAATCCTGCCCTGTCTGTGTTGGATGGGCCAACCTGTGGTATGTTAATGTGCAATAGTATCCTGTAGGGAATGGAGATGGCTTCCTTCCTCCTTGTGTATCTGTTCCATCTGTGTCTCTAGCCAAATGGGCATTTTCTTGTTTTTGTGTGTCTTAAAATCTTTTCTCTCAACTTCTTACAGACTTCTTTTGGGAAAGTTGTGTATATTTTAGTGCTTTTCTTAGTGGTGGTGGTGATGGTGGGAATAAACTTCTTAGCCTTTCAATATGTAAAATAAAGCATCACTTTGTCTATCTGATGTGGCCTGTATTGTTTTTCCAGAGAATCTGTCTTCTCCACCTACCTGTCCATACAACTTGCAGTTTTTAACTTGGAAAGAGGGGTGCCAAATAAAATAGCTGTAATGATTGGTTTCTGAAGTCCCACCAGGATGTTGTGGCTATAAGAAAGAAAATAACAAATCGTACCTAGAATGCAAACAGAAATTATGGGGTTTGCTATATATGAACTGGACAAATATATGAGTGGCATATGGGAGAAGCAAACTTTATTTAGAATATATGAATAAGTATCAGGAAAGTTTGATCCATCAGAATAGCCTGACGTCCTCATCCTGCTCAGCAGCCATGAGCTCCTGGGGGATGTCTTCTTTAATTATCCTTTGGTAAAGGTTCCTTTTTGCAATTTCTTCATGCCATCGGATTTTGCATCTTTTGGTGCATTGGGCTCTGAGAACATTTAGAGCAGGGCAGGGACTAAGCAGCATAATAGTGTTAAGAGTTCCACAAAATGCTTGGGCTGCTAGATGTTTTATGGGGCTCACAATCAATTTGAACCAAGTTGTCCGGCAATCTGAACCTGCCTTTCCTTTGGAATCATGTACATTTCTGTGTTTAGGCAAATATCCTAACCTTGGGTGGATTCATTAACATACTAAGCCAAAACCAAACATGCCATACTGAAGTTTAGGATAATACAAACCCAGCCATAAAAAGCATATTTATTGTCTATACCCTAGAAATCGGGGCTAAATTTAATAGATTTTTGATTGAAGAAAAATATTCCCACAACAAAAAGAAATGAGCATAAGAAATAAGTCATTGAAACTATCATGTTTCCATCACAGGAAGACTAGACAGCCATTTGTTAAGAATACCCTGCTTTCATGGAATGAACAAAAGGTTGATTAGCTTAAAAGTCCCTTGCTAATTAACCAAGGAAGATTTCCTTTAATGAAATCTCAGTCATTAAATGTAATAAATGATCGCAATTATTCTACAGGAAATAGACTGCATCTAGATCTTTTCAGGCCATAGATATTTTGGAATAGCAGGAAGGCCGTTGAGGAAAACTCACATTGCAATTTTCTGCCTGGGCATGTTTGTATGCTGAAATATTCCTAGATTCAAAAATGATTCAGCTTTGATATCTGCTTTAGTATTCATAATTAGATAAATAATTTCAGTTTACTAATTGGTTTGCTAATAGAAGCTGAGAAACAAATTAAATCCTCAAGTCCTTCAACTTCTCTTTGCTTCATTATTGCTGGTTGATTGAACCTGGAACCAAGCAGTCTATAGATAAATTAGATCCTGATAAAATGAAGTTTTAATCAGTCCTTGCATCTCTCTCTCTGACTCTGAGAAAATTTGAGATGATCGATGTGAACAGTTCCTTGGAGGGAAGCCATTCAGGAAGTAAAGGGTTAACAGTTCTCATTCCAAAGCCAGTGGAGCCAACTAGCAGTACACAAGCATGCAAAAATTTTCTAGTACTAGAGACATGCCCCAATGTAATCTCTGAACCCATTTTAAAATGAATTGGTTGGGAACACAACATTTTATCAGCCGAGCATTGGCACTATAACTGCAATGGAATGTATTTCTTGCAAATCTGAGAAGCATCTCCTTTTTTTTCTTTAAAACCTAGCCTCTTTCCACTTTCCCTTTTCTTTTTTGTTCTTGTCTGTCACTTCCTTTTTGTCTGTTGTGACCACTACCAATCCTGAGGGCCATCCGTTCCAACCCAAGCTCCTTGCCCTATTTGTAGGTGACAATGGGGCTGGCTTGCCCTTCCCCTGGGATCCATGTCCATCAGAGATCCTCTCCACTATCTATGAAGTAGAAAGTGGTGCTGAAACACCTGGCCCAGATGAAGAGGATGGGAGCCGTTGCTTGCGTGCCACCTCCCGAGAACAGGCTCTTCAGCTAGGAAACATCCAGGCTACAGTCGTACAGCAGCTAATCAGCCGAGCCCTGCTCTTCCCAACAGAAGCACCTCCTGGGGCTGTCAGTGGGAAGGGGGCCATGAACAGCGAAGCAGAGATTGGCAAATGGACAGAACTGATCTCCCCTTTGGAAGAATCTCGAGCCAGCATCACTTCTGTGACAAGCTTCTCCCCAGAGGACATGTCATCCCCCCATGGGGATTGGACTGTGGTAGAAGTAGAATCCTTCCACTGATTATTTCCCCCCTCACAAGTTATATATATAAGGCATTTTTTGGAGGTCATCCGAGTGTATCTATTAAATGTTCAGGAAGGGTCAAGTATTAGCTGACTGGAGATACTGTTCTCCCCTTAATCTTCAGCAGCTAATGGTTTGAATAATTAAGCACTTGTGAATCATAATTACTTTTGCCCCAGGCAGTTTTAGGCCTTAGGTTATTTTTGGTTCAATAGACTGACCAACTTTTCATGTTTGGGACTTCCAGGCCATACATTTATTTCCAGAGGGTGAGGCCCATCTTTATTTAGTCATAACATGTGATTGTGCCAACTATCGATATCACTATCTGTCAAACATGATAAAAATAAATCCCCTCCACGTACTTTGATAAGTGCTCATGTTCTTCATTAATGAAAGCTATCTAACAGAAGATGCTAGTGGGCTTGATTACTGATACCTCCGCATGGAAAGCTATGAACATTTGGTTGCCAGGCTGCCAATATTTGATTTTTTTTTTTGGTCATGGTAAACTTTGACAAAGTTTACTTTGACAAAAACCAAATTTCCTGGCAAAGGTGTTTTACCTTGAGGTTTTTTAAGGAAGTAGCATTTCAAAATTTGTGCTCACACAATATACTTAGGATGAGACCTAACAGATGAATTTGTATATTATCAAACAGCCTGGATTTGCACAATATGTTTGGTACAAGGACATGGATTAATTCAAAAAGTAGTTTAAATGGGTTGTGTGAATGTAGCCAGCATGGAAGAGAAATTTACAAATGAGGACATCTTAGTGTTTTTGAATGATTAGTGTATCTACTATTTAGAATGTGGTCACTCTATGCCTCTTGTCTACTTCTATGAAGTGGACAACTCAGCAACATATGCAACCTTATACAGTGGCTGGAAGATACCTTGGATTCAAAGGGAGATGTACTTTAGCATCCTAAACAAGACTAAGTATGAAAAGACTGCTAAAGAATCGGTTTTGGAATTTTTTTTCAAAGATGCAATTTTCAGACCACTTAAACTTCTTATCTGAATTGGAAAAGTTTAGAAAATGTAGGGACCAAGTTTCATTTTGATGCAATTGATTCTTATACTTGCTCTAGCCCAAGCTCCATGCTTATGTAGCTGTAGGCAACTCCCCTTTTTTTTTTCCTTTGTGCCAAGGGTTATGCCTGGCCAAATAGAGCTGTATATGTGTAGTTGTGAGGGGTTTTCCTGACTTGATTGGGGCCAATGCAGTGGTGGGATGAGGAATATCTGGCATAACTCTTTTAAGTTGTGAATTACAATTCCAAGCAGCCTCTGTCAATTTGTGTAACTGTTTAACGTTAAGACATTTTTCAGAGAGTCATAGATTGGCAGTGAAACCATGCTAGTTTTGCTCTGGCATTTGTTAGTAAGAGTAGTATGAAACTACGCAGCAGCTATGGGATGGTGTCCAGCAGCAGCATGAATAGATAAACTGACTCTATCACACAACAGCAATTGCTTAATAGTTCCCTTTAGCCCTGCCATATTTTTTTTTGTTACCACATCTGAGAATCTACATTAAACTGCCTAAATTCAGAGCAGAGATCACGATCTAAAAGTTAGACTGCCCTTCTAACCTACTACCAGATAAACAATGTGAAAAAGCTTTTTCTAATTGCCATATTTAAGAGGTACTGTACTCATGAAGCTAATCTGTTGCAATACTATCTTTCTCCTGAAATGTGAAATGTGTTTTTAAAAATGTTCATCTCAGTAACTCTGCCATCTTCCTATACCTACCTTCCCAGTAGTTCGATTAGTTAAGATTGATATAGAGCCTTATTGTCTGTAACAAAGTATTGATGTGTGCAACTTTTTTTTGTAACGTAGCAAAGTGTGATATAGATTTTTTTAAAAAAATAAAAATAAATTTGAGGTTATTCTGCTGTCCCTCTTTGAAAAGTGTTTGGTTTTTAATAGTTGGAATGCAGTGCAAAATCGGTTACACTTTTAATGGCTCAGGGCCTCTTGTGTCTACCTAAAACAAGGTAGTTGATTACTTAACTAATTCTTGAGAAGCCACTCTGCAGATTAAAGTTCTGCTGCAGAACCAGAGCCTTGTTAAAAGATACAGGCCAGGTCTACTTTTGTGTAGAAAACAAATGGCTAAACTGCAATGGCTGTAACTGCTTTAAATTCATAAACATTCTAGGTAGGCTCGAAGAAGTTAACGATCTGAGTTTCCAATGCTAGGTACTCATGATTGCATAGACATGTGGAATTAAGTCTTCTTCCATGGTAGAAATCTCTCTTTAGCCCTTTTTCACTTAAGCTGCTGTACAATCGTAACAAATGTCACTTGCCGAGCAAAAGTAGCTGAAATAGTTCTAATTCTTTAACTGGGATTAGCTCATGAATCAGAGAGTAAGGGCGAGTTTAAAAGATTATACCAAACACACTAAACTTGATACAGCATCTCCACCTCAGCCTGCTGATAGTAGATGAGCATCTTGAACTGCAAGAGGAGTGGACAGTACTGGTAGTCCTTGACTTGCGACCTTTTGAAGTTACAGTGGACTCCCCCCAAAGATACAACCCAATTCCGAAGTTTTAATGCCCTGCCACGACTGCATTTTGGCACTTGGCAACCGATCCATCTTTACAGATGTTTGCAGTGCCCCATGGTCACTGCAGATGGTTACAATTTACTTTTTTTGCCATGAAAGGGGGTTTATTGCTGGGTTTTGGCAAAAATGTCCAGTTAGCGAAAAATAGGTTTGCTTCACCACCACCACAAAAAAAGATGGGGTTGATGACATGGGTGAACCACTTTACAATCATTACAACTTATGACTCTTAATGGGCAGACTCCATTACGGTGGTTAAATACAGTACTAACTGTACAGAAATATTCCGATCTTTGCTATCCACTTTCCTGTACTAAACTATATTGTGGTAAACTTTTGCCTGGGACCTAGAAGAGTTTTCAGCCTTCCAGTACTTTACAGTATGTGTAAATCATACAACAGGTGATATTCACATGTAGCTTGCAAAACCTAAGTATTTTTGCATGTTCTGCTACTAATTTTGTGCTCCATTTCCAAAATGTGTTCTTTAAAGCATGTAACATGCTACATAGCCTTTTAGTCAATTGGTATTCTCAGTGAAAAGCTCTCCATAACAAAATAGGAGTTGTATCATGTTTCCCTATTCCTTGCCTTTTTCTCACTAATTGAGTACTGTTAATTCTGAGCTGAGATACCCAGAAAGTTCGGTTCAGGAGACTAAATCTATAGTCTGTGAATTACAAGTCAGGCTTTATTAAGGAAGATAGTAGGTTTGTCTGGCTGCTTAAAAACTCAATCCTGTTATATAAGGCACAAAGAATTGTATAACCAAAAAATTTATTCCACTCCAGCAAGGGGTCATTATTGCCCAAGGTTCTGTTCAAACACTTGAAGGCAGTTTCTCAAGATGGCTGCAAACACAATCCTACACCTGAAGCTGATTTCCTATGGAAGCTTAACAGGCATATGAGATGAGTTGAAAGCTCGGAGGACCAGTCTGAGAAATGAATTATATGTTTGAAGTGGAGTTTACCTTTGGAGGCACAGCAAAAGTATTTACTGGAAATCTTTGCAAGAAATGGCATCAGCCCTACTATTGTCCACATTGAAAAATAAACTCATGAAAAGGAACATTAAAGAGTTCTGATGGATTATGTCGTAGATATGCCTAAATCAGCATCCTATTTTTGCACGCAAATGCTCCAAAACAATCTCCCATTTCACCCCCAACATCCATGTTCTGCTTCCAAGTTGGAAATTCTTTTAAAGTTATCAAGGGGCTAACAACAAAGAAGAGTCCTAGCCTCTCTAAAGGTGGCACATTTTAGGAAAGGAAATTCAACCAATTCATTGTAGCACATGGTAAAGTAGTTCTGAACAGCATACACTATCCATCATTACAATTAGATGCCTCTTGAGTAATTTCGGAGGGAAATGCCAATTTTTTCCATCCCACAGAGAATTAACAATTTTTGACCTCCAGTTCAACAAGAAGTTGCAATGCTTTCACCTTTCCAGCATAAAAAAAGGATAATTCTTTGATCAAGTTGGCTACTTAAAATGTTTTTGTAATAAGGCATAGCATGGTGCAGGGACATCTTATAGAACCCCCAAGCCAATTACTATATATCCAAAATATTCTTGCTGAAATAAAAAGTAAATACACCATTATATTAATTGGGATAACTTCTGCTAGTTCTGCATTTATACACAATGCGCACCAGCAACTGAAGTTCTGTAGATACCCATAATTAACATCCAGGATACCTTTTTAAATGTGATTTTTTTAAAAAGATAAAAGATAGGTTACTTAGGTGGAACCAAAGATGGACACTTAACAGGAACACACAGATCAGTGGTGAGTTGCCCCGAACCGGTAGTAAAACCAGGAGGAGGTCCCGCCCACTGACCCGGACGTCATCATAGGTGATCTGTGCATGCACAGAAGAGCACACGCATGTGATGCAAACCAGAAGTAAAGGTAAGTAGAACCCACCCCTGACCCAGATGAACTAGAGATAAAACTATTTAAGACTAGACCCGTGACCACCTATGGGAATAAATTCTACTAAACCTGAGATTATTGGAGGAGGGGGGGAATGCAACAAGTGATAGATGGTCCTAATGCAATTCCAGCCCTTGTTATTTGCACATGGAATACTTATTCAGAAATTGATCTTAAGCACAGGTGCAGTTTGTTAGGTTCATGTTCCTAAAGAGCCACCATCCACTTTTGTGTAGGAAAGTGAGCTTGGATGGCATTGTGGCTTCACTATGGGTAGTCACATTTGACCAAGGTAGCCAAGATTCACATATCAAAGATGACCACCACCCAACCACCACTCCCCAAATGCCTCTTTCAGCATTACCCTGAAATGAAAATAGTTCGGATACAATTGTGCTGACCTGACCTTAGCCAATGCAGGGAAGCAACCTTCGTAAATTTTTGAGTAGGTAATCTCAAATATTTAAAATTTTCTGCTAGTGATTACTATGCCCTCAAAGGTGCTATAATAAAGTTTTGCATATATCATATAAAGTAGCTTCCTCTGTGGAAAGAAATGAAATGAATGAAAAAATCAACACGTGTCCAACTCACAATTCAGTAACAGATCTTTGGTCAAATCTATCATTTCATATTTTCAAGGTTTTTTATATTATGATTTGGGCACATGATGAAACCAAAGTCATTTATCATGCATGCATATATATATATATATATATATATATATATATATAATTTTCATCGGTGTATGACGATCATGAGTATTATATACAGTCTTAACTCTGAGAAAAATTCATGTATGTATCCACAAAGCTGCTACCAGCTTTTTAATCTTTCATTGCAAAGGTATGCTTTAAGCTGCTCCTTAAAACGTTTAAGATACACCAGTACAATACTCACTTCAATTTGGCCTCACTGAGCTTTCTTTATATATATATTTTAATTTACCTACTGCAGTTTAATCTTTCATTTTGTCTGGAACGAGTAAGAGTGAACCAAGAGCTCCATATCTATTACCAAAAGGAGTGAGCAAGATCAAAAGCCACTCCAGCTGCTGCTGGATCAGCCAGAGTGTTCTACACTGTATTGTGTATTACTTCTTGCACACAGCAAGTTTCTAATAGACAAAATACAAGGGGTTAAGACTGGTTAGAACTTAAAAATTTTGGTTTTTTTATTCCCAGCTCTGGACAAAAAAATAGGGCCTAGTGCAATAGAGAGGAATGTGTTGCCAGTATGTAAGCCCCTGAGGCACTTATGTGCTAAAACATCAAGAACCTGTGTTATCAAAGTTCAAAGTATAAGTTTCTAGCCCTCGTGGGTCGAAGGAAAATGTTGAGAACATAAAATTCAGTGTGCTCATATCTGCATTCTTCCTTTTAAGCAAATTGAAGTTTCCTTCTCTCTGCAATTACCGGTATGTAGTTTTCTGTTCCTAATGCACAGCTAAACAATAGGTATAAATTTTTCTCTCTCTCAATAAGATCCCCTTTACATTCCTAATTTATATCAGTTAAAGTGATCTGTCATGATTCTCCAATGAGGAGTTTTGGAAATGATGTTCTGTATACAGTCTAAGAACCTATTCTAGAGTTGTCCGCATCCTCAGTTCCCATTGTTTTTAATGCAAAACCGAAACTGACTTCCAATTGTGAAATAGATGTTTCCTAGCCAAGATTAAGTACAATGTGTCTTCAAAACCACTGAGAATCTGAAATGTTGAATAAGGTGCCCACCATAATGCCTCCATCACCTGATTTTTACAAGTTTACCACGAATAATTCTTAATATTGTATAGTGTCCTCTTGGCATTGCAATCTTTTAGGATTTAGCCTGCTTAAACAGGAAGAAGCCAATCCTAAGGACAGGAAAACCATCACCTGGATTTTTGATAGAAAAAAAAATGGTTCTGACCAATTCCATTCCCTATCCTTTTCTATGTCCCCAAAGCATTAATATTGGTGGTATTGTCTATTATAGTCCTCATATAAGAACACTCACTGCTAATGAAAATACATACACACGCACGCACATAGTTATAACTCTCTGCCCACTGGAAAGAGCCCATCTATAAATCCTACATTTATTTTAGACTTTTTGGTGATTATGTAAAGGTTACCGCGCTTTTATCCCACGGATTACAATACTGAAAATTAAGGTGGAACCCTTAAAGTCTATTCCCATCTATGGACTAGACAGAAGATAATCTACTCCCACTTGCTTTCTTCTTTCCAAAACTTGGTTACCAGATGACACTTCTCCCTAGAGCAGAACCCAAAATCTGGAGCCCTCTTGCACTCTTTTGCCCTTTAAACATAGTCATTTCAGCTGTTCCATTACCCTTTGTAGAGGGCTAAGGTATCTGGGAATACTAAATCATTTTTTTCCAGTTTAAATATTTATATTTTTTAAAAACGGGGAAGAAAAAAAATAATAAAAAGCAATCAACTCTGGGCAACAATCATGAAAATTGGAAGAAAAGGCTACCTGAACAGAAAAGAGAATAAAAAGCTATTTGATTAAAACCTCCTGGCACCTCCAGCAAGCTCTTTTTCTTGCCAATCACCGAAAGAAAGGAGGAGCAATCAGGGCTATCAAATACTACTGATGGGGAGAGGGAAGGGAGAAGCCATTTGGGTGCTGAAGCATAAATTATTTCAGCTCAGGTGAAGATTGGGAAGAGGAGGAAAACCATATTGCCTCATCTTTCCCCCAAACAGACAATGCACTATGGTGAGTGAAAAGCTTGGGGTCGGGTCAGATAGGCAAGATGAGAGAAGGAAGTGAGCTTTTAGCCCACTGAGCCCAGTCTTTTGGATCACCAGATAACCGGGATAGGGATGTCACGAAAGCTGGGTCATCATTTCTGCCTCCCTCCTCTCACCAGATATAGTCCAAGCCCTTCTCCTTTCCCACAACATTGTCTTGTTTTCAGAGGCAAAGGAAGGCTGAAATGGCTGAGACAGTAGCGTTGACAGAGTCCCTGTTCTCTCCCTCCCCCTCACTGGCTTGGCCCGTTCTTCTCAGCCCATGAAGGAGTCGCCCTCGTCTTCCTCGAAGTGGCACTGCTGGAGGGCCTTGATGTGATACTCGTAGATCTTGAGGGCCGGTCCCAGGCGAATAGAGAGGCCAGTAAGCACATCAGTGCGCTGCATCAGCAGCAGAGATTTCCCATCAATCTCCTGGGGAGGGGGAGGGATACACAAAAACAGAACGTCATGAGATCAGTGCACCGGCAGCACGCTAGGAAGAGATTTCTTCCTTTCTATAAAGCAGGAAAAGTGTTCCAAATCTAGTTGATTAAAACAACACTGAGGCATCCAGCCATGCATGCATATGTACACACATGCACTGCATATATGCATTATCTCTCACCAGTCTGTGAGTTGAGAAGAGCCATTACAGAATCACCACTGCCTAATTTGGAAGGGACTCTGTAAGACATCTAGTCCATTACTCTGCTTAGCACAGGGATCTACTAAAGAAAATGTGTTCTAGAAATAGATATGGCTGCAACTACTCTCTCAATAATACAGGTATTTTTAATTAGATTTTTATATCACTTTTATTAATCCTTCTTTAGTGACCACACTTGATACCAGCACCTCTTTTGTTAAACAAAGCAGTTGCTAAGCAAAACTATGACTCTGCTTATGATCTTACCGTATTTCAACCTTCCTTTGCTTTACAGATCTGCAAAGATTGTCAATGAAATCTTAGTTACCGGTACTTTTATCTCTGTCATAACTGCAAACGGTTGCTAAATGAAAATTATACCTACATTTACATTTTATTCACTTGCTAATTTCAAACATATTTATAATAAAACTAAAAACAGCCAACCCAATTGCATTGGCTTGGCCAATCCACCATTAGGCAAAGTAAGGCAGGTGACTGGGGCCCAATACACTCCCTAGCTGCTTGTTGGTGCTTGTCATTCTATTCCTACCTCTTAAAGTAACCAGGCACCCCAGGTGTGCTGGCAGATTTTGCCAATGTGGAAGTAAAATTCAATAATCAGTTCTACTGATTTGTCAAAATGGAATTCAGAAGTGCATCTATGATTCCTAGGCATCAAAATGGTTTACTTGCCCAGCACCTAAATGTGAGATGGAAATAAGATCTAAAAGATTTAAAATCTAAGCTTTTAGAAGGCCCAAAGCTTTTTACAAGCCTTTATTGCAAACTGAAATTTGTATTTTTGAAGAAGCCAAAAAAAGGCTATCTAACAAAGAGCATAAGCCACAGTAAAGAATTAGGGAGCATGACTGTGGGTGGCTGAAATAGTTTGGAGGCGCAAAAGAAGGATGGGGGGATCTTTCTGAAAACATGTTTTGGTGAGAGGTATCAAAATCTTGTCACAGCCTGAGCTCAAGAAAACTAGTTATAAAAAGGAGGACCACAAATGTCAAATGACATCCAGCGAGAGGCCGCTTTCTCATCTCAGTTTTACCATGTTTTAAAGGGAGGTTTTTTTTTTAATGAAACGGAAGACATATATTGTTACCGAAATAAACCAGTGATCACGCAGTATATAATTACTTTTAAGCAGTTTGTTCTCTTGAAATACCGAGAGCCTGGAATGGCATTGAGAATCACAAGGGTAAGAAACAGACAGAAGCACTACATGAAAGAAAACTGAACTTTGGATGTACCTTTACCCAGATTTTTAAAGCAATTGCCCCGGTCAAATGGGACCAAAACTAAAGACAGAGTTCTAGCACATCCCCCATCAAAATAAGAGATCAAAACTTTTAGGACTTATTTCATAAGCACTTTAGCTGAAATATAACCCTCCAATTCCTTTTCTTGGGATCCCCAGGCTCTCACCTGCTCCTGAAAGGCTGAAGCTTGCTCAGCAAACCCAACTTCTGTGAAATAATCCACAACGTCACTGACAGTCCATTCCACAGGGTCAGAAGGCCTCTCTTTCACTGAACTGGAGGAGGGGGAGAAAGTGAAATTGAGATCAGAGGCATTGCACAGTTTCTTCTCCAAGCCAGGTATTCCTCATCAGCACCAGATCAGGGGTATTGTTCATGTGTGCTTATGCATGTACACTCATACTACACTGTAAGAATTCATCACAAGTGAATTGTATAGCATCTTTCTGTAGAAGTTTAAATCTGCTTTAAAGCATCTACTTCAGACACAGAAAAATGCACCAATTTATACCCATGTTTTCAATCACACTGTCAGGAGAGATTATAACTTAAGGTAAAAATTAAGAAAATTAAATACCACACATCAGAAAATTGTAAGAGTTTCAAAAAACTGACAACCAAATGTAACGGCCTTAAAAACTCTGGGAATATAAAAAGTTATTGGCTTGAAGCTGAAAGCAGGTGTTAAGACAATTCTCTCTCGGGTCAATGTTCTACAACTGGGAATGACTGAAGATACCCTCTTTGCTCACAACTTTTCATTTTACATTACTGCTACCCAAAGGAGGCAATGTGAAGTTAAGCATATATGAGGCAGAGTGGCCAAATACTCTGATTCTTAGCTCTAACGATATCTAAAAGGTAATGAATAAAATAGTTGGCACAGTACAGGTGCATTACAATTGTTAACATCCAGCCATGCTTGGTAAGTTTGCAGTTGGAGTTTACATTAAATGCTGTTTCTGAACAGCAACCAAAGCCAGTCCAATATAGAGGGCATTAAAACAAATAGGCCAGGGCACAGAGAACTGAAGCCAGGATAGTCATGAGTCTCCTCGAACAACTGGAAGCAACCACCACATCAAGAGTTCTAGCATGGTATGACATTTCAAGGATAACAAACAAAACAACCCCAGTGTGGATATTTCAACCCCACAGCTCTTATTTTGCAATCTAAAAGGAAGAGGAGGCTCACTTCCTCTAACAACCATCACAGAGACAGTAGCCAAAGAATCCTTATAGCCTTTTTCCTGTTCAGGCCATCTTCCTCTTGTACACCAGTTTCCTTTCCCAAGGCAGGGCATATTAGATCCTTGTTGCCATTAGAACTAAGTCAATGTGTGGTGGCAGTGACCGTTATGAAAGTACAGAACAAGTAAGATATGACCAAGCTTTCTGAGATACCTTCAACCTACATTAATTGCTGAAAACACTGCTCTAGATTCTAAAGACAAGTGATGTAGCAGAAGATGGGTTCAAATGTATCCACTTTTTCTTTATCATAAATAAACCAGGTATAATTGAAGAATAGGTTGTGATCTCTGCACAAAACTTACACGCAACTGAATGGTCTCCCATCTGCCTGGATGCCAGGTCTCCCAGGAGATGAGGGCACAGAGGGATCAGCCCCTGCAACAGCTGGTGACACTGGAGAAAAAGCAGAGAAACAAACAGAGATAGGTCTTGTTCTTTATCAGTATAACTGGAATTGGACAGTACTGTGTTTTGGGTCCTTTAAAAGCAATGAAAAATGTTATTATCAATAGAACATTTTAATTTCCAAACTAGTCAATACCACTAACCATATTCTTGCCTTTCACTTGCCCCAGCTCTAGCTCCAACCTACTCTAGAATGCCAGTTAATAATTCTTAAAACTGAATGAGTCTCCATATTTATTGCAGAGCTACACATATACATTGGCATACAATGCAAGCATGCAATACATTAAATTATCATTAAATCCATGTATTAACGCTTAAATGACCTCCAATCTCAGATCTTTTGCCTTACTATCTACTAAATTTCCCAGAAAAGCCAAGTTTAGCCAACTAATTCTCCATCTTCTGCTACTTTTTCCCGCCTAACGCATACCTGCTCTGTCTGGTTGCTGATAGGCACTGCCATCTTTCTTGCTGCCTCCCAGATGGTGACAGGCACTTTCTCCAGGCCAAGAGGCCTTTGTGTGACATTGCTCATTTCCTTCATGCTGAGAATGCTCCAATCCTTTGTTCAAAGATGTTTCCTCTAGGGAGTGCAGGTCTCTGGGGGTGGCACTGCTGGGTGGGATCTCTTTCCCACCATGCTTGCTGTCCTTACAGTCACCATTCACCTGGCCTGTCCCAGGTCTGCTGTAGTTGCTGGCCTCAAAATCTTGTGCCACTTCTGAACCTTCAGACATAGTGGAGACTTCATCCTCTTCTTCGTCTTCGTCCTCGTCTTCTTCGCCTTTGATCTCCTCCCCTGCCTTCTATTAATATCACAGAGAATAAATAAGAACAGCAAACACATTTTAATTTCATCTATCATGAAGGCAGGTACAGCCACACATGGGAGCAAGCACAACTACTTTTGAGACACATCACTTCACTGTTAGTTACTTTGGATAAGACATCTCAGATCCCAAACCCAGACAGTTTCTGAGCCATTTTGTTTCACTTTCCCTTACTTGTACACACCCAGATATCTCCATGGGCAGTTGATGCAATCAGACTAAGTGGTGCTGGGATGGGAAACTTCTTAAATGTCTCCACTACTCTAGCAATGTGCTTAAAAGCTCCTCGAAGCAGGAACAGGAAACTTTTTATCCAGGGAGAATTTCGTGCTACTAAAACCACTGCCTCCTCCATCTTCCACCCGCAGCTTTTATGAAAATCTGTGATCATTCTCATCAATTAAAGATTGCAAAAATAATGAAAGAATAAAAAAAGGGGCCGGATTTTTCACCCCCTACTGCTAATCCCTCCTGGGTAATTTCAAGGCTGCTAACTTGAACTGGATAACATTCTGAGGGGATTGCTTCCCGACCCACACTGCATGATATTTTCCTCCCCACCTCCAGCTTACCCATACTCAAGTGATCATTCACCACTGCTCCCACCACCTCTTGACTTTATTGGAGGTTACCAAATTCTTTAGGTCAAGCACAAACTGACTCTTTGTTCTGTGTTTAGATGGAGCCTGGTACGACTGGAGTGGGGGTAGAAGGGGGCGCTGTTCTTGGCCCAATGTACACCAATGGCAGTTAAACTAACCTTATGGAAGGACCACACACACACAGGTGAGCTAAGAAAGCACCCTCCTATGTTGGAAGAGTGTCGTCCGTCCCGCCGCCCCCCCCCCCTCCCGAGAGTCGACCTTGAAGTTCTCTGGGCGCCAAAAGCCAGCCAGAGTCTGTCTTCCTAACCTTGCCAAAATACTTCGGAAACGTACGAGGGAATATTGCCCCGTTTAAAACCACGCACCAATCCTAGCGCCCCCTCCAGTGCGACACGATTTGATTGGGTGCTGCCCTCAACTCTTCCTTCCAGACACACGCACACCTGCACGGGAGCCCACTGACAACATCTGGGGGTTGGGCGCCGTCCGCCCGCCCCCAAACTGGCGGCTTTCTGGCGCCCACTGGCGCCCCTCCCCTCCCCCCAGCATTCGGGCACCCCCCCTGCGCGCGCACTCTAATCGGTCCGTTTCCTTCCTGGAGAGCCTCACCTGTTCTCAGCCGGTGCGTCCCCTCCGCCCCACGCCAGACACAGCCGCCGCCGCCACCCGCTGTTGCCAACCCATCCCCCCAGAGCGCGCCCCGGCGCCTCCTCACCTTGTTCCTGTATGGTCTGGCGTTGGGGGCCCGGGCCTGCGCGCCTCTCTCCGCCCTGGGCAAAGCGACGCTGTTGCTGCTGCTGCCGCCGCCACCGCCGCCGCCACCCAAGCGGGTTCTTTCCAGCCTCTCCTCCTGAAGCAGCCCCTGTGCTCGGCCTCGAGTCACTCGGCCGCCCCCCGGCGCGGCGCCGTCCCCGCCCAAGTAGCGCACAATCTCTCGCAGACTAACGGGGGAGGATTCCTCCTGGACTGCGGGCGGCGGCGGTCGCTCCCGTCCGGTCCGACGAGGCGGAGGCGGCGGCGGCGGTGGCGGCGGCGGCGCGACTGGCTCCGCGCGAGGCGCAGCACGCTGGGAGGACCGGGGCGTCGCGGTGGCGGCGGGAGCGCTGGGCGGGGAAGTGCGGGCCGGGCGCTGCGGGGCCGCCGGACTGGCGGCGGGCGCTCCACCTCGCCGGGGAGGCTGGACCCGCGCAGCGTTGCGGTACGAGATGCTTCCCTTGTAGCTGACTCGGAGCACGGCGCGTTGCTGGATGAGCTTTTCCAGCTCGGCGCGGGTGCGCTCCGGCTCCGGGCCGTGCCGCCGGCGCACCATGCGGCAGATGCGCTCCAGGTCCGGGCGCGCCTTGCGCGAGCGCAGCGAGTCGATGGTGTCTAAGATCCACTCTTGGTAGCGGGGCGCCTCCTGGCCCGGGGGCGGCGGCGGGGGGCCGGCCATGGTGTTGCCGCCTCCCCCGGGGCTTTGCTGCCCCCGTGCGCCGCTCCGCCTTGGCCTCAGCCCTTGTCCGCACGGCGCGAACTGGACCCTCCACCCGGCAGGCGCTGCTGCTTGCTGGAAGCGGCGGCGCGCGGGCTGGTCCGGGCAGCGCGAGCTCCTCCCTCCCCTTCCCCCAGCCGCACGCGCCGCCGCCTCCAACACCGCCCGAGCGGGACCCGCAGCCGCTTAAGGAGGCGCTGTTGCCTCCCGTAGTCTCCCTACACTTGGCGACTTAAGGTGGAGCAGGAGAATTCTCGGGCTTCCTTAGCGGCCGCACGGAGGGAAAAGGCGCTCTCAGGCCGCCTCCGTCAAAACTCAATCCCAATCCTACGGGAGAGGTCCAAGTCTGTGCTATTTATAGCGGCAGGAGTTTGCACCGTGTCCTCCAGCGGGCAAGTAGAAGGGAAGTTTTCCTCCTAGCCGTTATTCTGCAGTGCTTTGCTTTCTCGTCCCACGCCCTTCTTCATTAGTCCAAATAACAAATCACAAATCTATCCCCCGCCTCCTCCACAGCGAACCGATTCGGCAGCCCTGATGTCGTCTTACTGTCATAGTTACTTCCTATTCCACGGAAGTTTCTCTTCTGTGATGCCCCAGAGAGTCCACCGCTGGATGTAATGAGGTTGAATTTGGAGTAAATGCCGTAGACAAAGAATGGATTTAGAGGTCTGAACAGTTGACGCGGGGAACTGCCTTTCTTTTACAGAAAGATCTGCTGCCTTAAGTTTGCATTTTTCCCCTCTGGTGAACGTGGCCTTCATTTTCTAGATCTGAAGCATATTTTCTGTCTTGCATTCTGATTACTTTTCCTTAGGACCAAGGCCTAGATGCCTCGTATGAGAAGAGGAACAAAATGAAAGCAGCGATTTGTTTCTGATTACAAATACGATCAAAAAAAGAAAGGTTTCTGTAAAAATATGGATTTTACTGTAGTGCTGAATTTCATATCCTGCTCCTAGCTTCTTGAAAAATATGTGTTCACCCATTACCCATTATTGATTTAACCATGGCTTACTGAATTAACAGTTACTGAAGTATAAACTAGCGATACTAGTTGGGAATCCTACAATAAATTAAGGTAAAATATGGTTGGCTAGTTTGTGATTCAGTGTAGTGTGTGGACACAGTCAAAGAGTAGAGGTTTAATATATCTCAGAAGTGAAACTATACTATATAAAGACTTTATAACTGCTGCATTTGTCAGATATACATCTGTTCTACCAATCATCACAACACCTTCAAATAAGGAACCTATACATAATTGGTGACAGAAACAAAATCAAGATATTGAGAGTTTTGAATTAATATTTTCATCATAACCACAGAAAGTTGAATACTCAAAATCATTTGGCATATCAAGTTGGATACACAAGAGCAATTGAGACTTCCATGTATTAACTCTGTATTCAGTCTATACTTCTTTGTAGCTAGCAACTTTTTTCCAGAGCTTTGTCAGAGGTAGAATTGCTGTTTCTTTTCATCAAATTATTTAGTATCTAACACTGATCAAGTTATGTTAGCAGTTGGGGAGGAGGGAAATTTGCAAGTATTTCTTCTTAGAATTTGAAATACAATTAAGACTACAGTATATAAAAGCTGATATTCCAACTCAGTTGTTCAAACTTCACATGATATAGGTGGCTCATCTTCACTTTAGCATATCAAGAATTGCTCGCAAACTGAATATATAGACTTAGGGTCATTACTTAGATTCTGGGTTGGGCGAAACCTCCGGCACTGAACTAGTTTGTTGGCAACTTTCTAACGTAATCAAAACTTAGCAACCGGTTGAAAACTGCGAAAATTGGAATTTGGTCCAATTGGACCAAAAATTGGAATTGCAGATCCAAAACTCCACCAGCCTACAGTAAATTAAAAAGATGCCATACAGATAGTCTTTGTTTAGCAACTGTCTCGTTAAGCAACCATTCACTTACAGTAATAATGAAAAAGTAACTTTGTTGAAAATTATAAATACAGACATGGTTTCACTTAGCAAATGTTTTGCTTAACAACTGAGTTGCCAGTCTGAATTGTGGTTGCTTACCTGTAATGAAACATTTATTTTCTGAAAGTGTCTCACTTTACTACCAATAGATCATGACTAGCAGAAAATAATAAGATAATTAAAATAATTTGATTTCATGCCGGAAATAAGATGACATTCTGTGATACTTAGTAATATAGAAGTTTCCTTTGCTGCATTATTATCACCAAATATATCCACTGTAGGATGAATGGCTTCTTCAGTGAAAGTTATAGACCCACATTGAGTTGTCCAGTGCAGGTTGCTTTTTTAAATTATTATTTCCCAAGCTAGGGCTGTGAGATAATGATTAACCCAATGTTATCTTGCCATCTTCCATGCCTAAGAGAGGAGAAGAACCTGAATCTCTTCACTACTAGATTATTTTGGGTTAAGTTAAAAGGCAGATCCAAAATTTTCTTTCTGAAATATGGATTCTCTGGTACACTGTGAAGTTTCCACAATAATTTTAATATATTTATACTACTAGAAGTTGAATTATAGTAGAGTCAGGATTTAGCAGTTATGAAGGCTGTAAGCAACAGTGGTTATATCGACCTACACACAGGAAAAGGAAATGGGTCCATATTCAAAAGCTGATTCAGTGGCAGGAAGTGGTCAAGAGTGAACTGCCTTTCAGTTGTTTTTTTTGTTTTCAAAGATGGGAATAAATACATTTTTGTTTAAATTATCAAAATATCAATTGAAATTGACATTAACAGCAATTGTTCTGAAAGGGTGCTGTAGGAATTTTTTGCTATTCTAATACCACCATTTCTAATTTTAAATTTTTCTTTAAATTCCAGATTCATACCTAAATATTTAGTGTTAGAAGTAAAAGTTTTCCAAATATAAACAATTTCCCTTTCCTCTAATATAATGTTCAAATTTGTTTAAACATAAATAAAAAAGTTCAACTCAAAGTCTTGTTCCCAACACACACACACAACCCGTATTATAAAAGTTTTGACTATTGTGATATTGTAATTTGGACATACCAGTTTCTTAATAGCTGCCCCTCTTAGTTCATTTTACAAAATAGGAAAACACTCAAATTCTCAAAATGGTCTGAAATCCTGATAATCTATGAGATAATCAGTAGCTTTGAAAAGCTGCTGGAATGTTGGCCAGTTTTAGTTTACAATGCTAGCATCACTGCCTTTCTTTGTAGTTTTTGATCTTTATCAAGAACAATCCATCTTTTTCTTTTTGAGCAATCATTGGACTAAGGCGTCATTCTCTAGTCTATCCTACACTCTAGCTCACCTCTAACAAGATCTATACAGCAACAGAATTAAGTGTAAGAAATACTTCAATTTCCAGACATAGGATGGTGTTCTTGAACTAGGCACCAACAAAATGTGTTGGGATATAGCTTCCAAATTAGCATGGTCAGTTTCCAAAATCTGTAAGTCACTAGGCTCAGAAAGGTTGGCATGTGTCAGCTTCCGTTAAATTATTTTCGTGTCTTTTTTAAATAATACAGTTCCAGAAGCAAAGCAGAATTAATTTTCCCACAGTTTGGGGAAACCAGTTTTCTAATTTAATTTTTTTTTAAATGAAAGAACTGTGAAGAATCCAGTAGCTATTATTTTCTCCGATAACTCTTACTTGTATATAAACAGCCAGCTTGTTGCATTTACTGGCTGAGATACACTGAAAGTAGTAGTGCACTCAGCTTTTCAGTACACCTCATTCTATTCCGTTGAAAAAAGTCCCCTCTAAACCGATGTGGTAAAATTGGACTTATAGATTGTAATAATGTATATACCACATTACAGAATTCAATTTTTAGCATATACAATTTAGCCTTCAATATGTTATGATTCTTTGTAATTTTATTATTGGGATAACTTAACCAATGATAAGGCCTTCTTTCATGGAAAGAAGAGCTCTTCAAATATGTTCAAAACCTTAAATGCAGATGTTCAAAGACCTTGTAATAGAATTGTATTTCCAGTGATGATTGTGAATTTTCTTATAAACAGTTTTTACTACTAACCCATAGGAACTCAATTACTTTTGTTTTCAAAAGTGATTTCCATTTTGTCTGCCTAGTCTCAAGAGTTTGAGTATCTGTCTTATTTAGTATCTGAATACATTGCACAACAGCATCTTCTTAAGATAGTGCCTGCCAGATGCATTGGGCCACCACTCTCAGGATATTATAGGAATAGTAGTCCAACATATTTAGAGGGTATTGGTTTGGGGAAAGCTATCGTAGAACATTATGTAACTAGATACATGCCTTTATTTGCTCTGTATAAGTTTTTAAAAAAATACAAACAGTGGAAGAGCTTTCCATGCACATTAACATGACAGTGTGTATGAAATTCTAATATAGAAACTCAAGAATCTGACAATTCTGGGTTGCTCACATAAATTTTAGATAATTGACGTGTTGATTTCACAGCCATTTGATAAATTGCCCCTTCCATTATCAATACTCTCCAGATATAATTTAAAAGCTTCAAAATATAACGTATATTTGATTATAAAACAAATGCATTTGTTTTTCAAAAAGCTAATACTTTTCATTGAGTGACAACTTCAAATTAAAACAGAGAGCATTCAATTCACATATCTTCAGTTATGTCAATCAGTTTTAAAGCTTTATACAAAGGGTAGGCTGTATCAATAGTTAACGAAAACTGCATTGTGAATTCCTAAAAGTTCCATACCTTTTTATTTCATGTTATCTTTTAGCACCGGCCATCATGACTCAAACTCCTTACTGCTGTTTCCCATCTTATACTAAATTTTAGGAATTAAACTTTATTTTTTTAAACAAAACTTTATTGGTAATAGTTTCAAATATGTTTACAACAAAGCACACTGTTAAAGAGGAAGTAGGGTTTGTTTTTTTTCTCAGTGAAACAAGTTTTGTTGGATTACACAGAAGTGGTTTTTGTTTCTTCCAAGACTGGGAGCAGATGACTTTAAGTCTACTCCTCCCCAACTTCACAAAAATGGGACTAAGGAGCTTCTTGGTGGGAAGGGATGATGAGAAGTTGGGGTGGAGGTAAATAAAGCTTGTCTGATCCTAATAGCACTTCTGTGCAGATTACATCTATCAATCCAAAGACGCCTGCTCTGCTCTCCAGCCATGGAAGGAGAACAGAAGAAACTTAAACTGTGAATTTAGAAAGAGTGTATTTGGAGTCAGGTAGGTGAAGACAGAATACAAGGAGGCATTGCATTGGAAAAGTGAAGGGGAGTATCAGAAAAATTTAGGACAAAACAACAAGCTGCCTTCCCTCCACATCGTTTGAGTCCAACTCCAACTGCTTCCATCTTTTCAGAGAAAAGACACTAAACAGATGCCACTTTGTATTTCCAATCTCAACAACAGACCAAAACTGGTCACTCCCTTGTCTGCATGGCACAAGTGAATGGGTTTTGTCTATTTTGTTTGTAAATCTCACCATCTTTATTATCAGGGTTAGGTTTGCCATCCTTCTCTTGTTATCTTAGCATAAAACCAGAGCAGGTGTGTAGAGATCTTAAGGACCGAAGTAATGGAGAGTCCACACCCACAGATCCATTTTTCATCAACACTGAGGTTTGGGCTGGAATAGGAAGAATCATATCCAGCCAATGTGTCTTGCCAACATCTTTCACTGCGCATGTACTTTATCCCCATTTTAATTGCTACTAAGGGGGACAAACCTCTTCAGACAGTGACAAATAGCTAGATTCTCATCTTTCACAAATCCTGCTTGTTTCTCATCCATTCAAATATTCCAGCAGTTACCTTATGCAGTAGAACTGATCTTGAGATACATTTTGGAGGGGGTGAGGGTAGCTGAGAAGCAAAATAATGGGTTTTGGAAATACACATTCAAACAGTGTTTCTTCCCATAGTATTCCTGCCCCAGCTGCAGCCAGTCATTGTCCCCCTTCTGCAAGTGTGGATATTATTGCCTCTTTCTTTCCCAAAACTAGGGACAAAAACATGAAATCAAGTGTAGAAAGAAAGAAAAGAAAAGAAACCACATATTCTTCATGCTAAAATCCAGCTGTTTTTACAGAATTAAAATTCCTGCTGAATTTCATTTAACTGTGCTGGAAACAGAGCATATAAAAGCATTGCCCCCACCTAGACTGTTAAAACCTTTTTTAAGCCAGTCAACTATGTCTTTAAACTTTTTCTTTAATAAAATGAGCCTTGGAAAGGGATAGGGGAGGAAAGGGCTATTGATAAAAGGATAGGGTGGTCTCACAGTGGGAGGCGAGACAATTGGGTTGGAACCCATTTTATGCTGGTCTAAACACCAAAGTGCTGTTGTGGATGTGTTTACTTTCTGCCTTCCCCCCAATTCCCTTCCCTTTTTTTTCTTTTTCTTTTTGCAATGCCCCATGAACCAAATCATTAGAGATGGTGATGAATTACAAAGTATTCCCTTTCCCTTAAAAATAAAAAGCCACCAAAAAACCAGGGACTGTCCAATTAGGGTTTCTGTTATCGATTGGAGTCAATGTGAGCAGGAAGGGAATTTGTTTTAAAAACTGCCTGAGAGTGGCTGGGAGCCACCTTATAGCTTGCAGTGGATGGTGGATGGATGACATTCAGACTACTGTCTTTTCCACAGCTTCAAATGAATTCCCCTTTTCTCTTTTCTGCCCAAACAGATCCAGGTGAACCCCAACACTCTCCCACCTCCCAAAATTAACAAATAGGCAAGGAACTCTGGCCCTTGAGGCTGATCAAATCCAGCCCTTTCTTTTCCTGGGCACACAAAGCAAAGGGGGCTGGCCCTAAAATTCTGAAAACTCTTTGACGCATTTTTCAGTGATGGACACCCGGATCTCCTCTTCCTCATAGTCATCAAAGTTACTTGTGTCGCCAGGTCCTTTGCACTTTGGTATAAAAGGAGCTTCCACCTGTGGAGGAGATAGCACTGTTAAGCATTATTATAATATGGGGATAGTCATCATGTGTTTATCATCAGTTGATCAATTATAACATGAGGCATGAAATAAGGCTACCATATTGGTTATTAATCTAAGTATTTTTTTTTTCATTTTCTCTCTTTTTAAACCGGAACATAAAGGGCATAGTGATCCTGATGAGAGAAAGTACACCACTAGGTCAATTCTGTTGGCATGGTGAGTGGCACATCCTCAACAACAGGTCTTAACAACTTTTACACTCAGATGAATCCAATGAATACTGGACTAAATGTATAGATCCAACAAAAATGCTTACTTGTTTATCTATAAAGTGGGGTTAAAGAGGCCCTGCTTCTCTATAGAAGAGAATAAAACACACAGCTGCTTAAAGCTATTTGCGCTTAGGATAGCTCACTTCTAATATTAACACAGGACTGGGAAAATTTGCTTAACGTAGCTCCTGCACACACACTCATTGATGTAAGGATATGCTTTAAGGGTTTTCTTCACCAGGTAAAGCGGCGCACAAACACGTGCACTATTACTTTGTTTCAGCTCAATCGGAGTTCTACCTTACTCCTCCCCATGTCTGCTACTTAGCCATTTCTTCCCAAAATACAGGTTTATCAGCTGACTCTCCCATTTCTTGTTTCTAATTTAGGAAAAGTCAAATTAAAAATTATCCAGAATTACTTGGTGTATATGCTTTGTTTTAACTAACCACAATATGCTGATTAATATATTGTGTTTGGTAAACTGTAGATTTGGGTTAATTTAATGTAAAAAAACAATAAAGCAAAATAGGCACTATGTCTTGCTTAGAAAGTTCTGGTTAATACAAACCCTGGTCTAACACAATGTATAAACCAAGCCATTGTTTATAAATCAATCCAGCAGAAAACAGAATAAGAGAGTTGGAAGGGACTTTGGAGGTCTTCTATTCCAACCCCCTGCTTAGGCAGGAAACCCTTCAGACAAATGGTTATCCAGTATCTTCTTAAAAACTTCCAGTGTTGGAGCATTCACAACTTCTGGAGGCAGGCTGTTCCACTGATAAATTGTTCTGTCAGGAAATTTCTCCTTAGTTCTAAGTTGCTTCTCTCCTTGATTAGTTTCCACCCATTGCATCTTGTCCTGCCCTCAGGTGCTTTGGAGAATAGTTTGATTCCCTCTTTTTTGTGGCAGCCCCTGAGATATTGGAACACTGCTATCATGTCTCCCCTAGTCCTTCTTTTCTTTAAACCTGACATACCCAGTTCCTGCAGCCGTTCCTCTTATGTTTTATCCTCGAGTCCCCTAATCATCTTTGTTGCTCTTCTCTGCACTCTTTCTAGAGTCTCCACATCTTTTTTACATTGTGGCAACCAAAACTGGATGCAGTATTCCAAGTGTGGCCTTACCAAGGCATTATAAAGTGGTATTAAAACTTCATGTGATCTTGATTCTATCCCTCTGTTTATGCAGCCTAGAACTGTGTTGGCTTTTTTTGGCAGCTGCTGCACCCTGCTGGCTCATATTTAAATGGTTGTCCACTAGCACTCCAAGATCCCTCTCACAGTTACTACTATTGAGTGAGGTACCACATATACTGTACCTGTTCATTTTGTTTTTCTTGCCTAAATATAGAACCTTACTTTTTTCACCATTGAATTTCACTTTGTTAGATAGCACCCAATGTTCAAGTCTGTCAAGATCCTTCTGTATCTTAAGCCTATCTTCCGGAGTGTTGGCTATTCCTGCTAGCTTGGTGTCGTCTGCAAATTTGATGAATTCCCCATCTATCCGCTTATCCAAATCATTGATGAAGATGTTGAAGAGTACTGGGCCTAAAACAGCGCCTAAAACATACCCCACTGCATACTTCCCTCCATACAGATGCAGTTCCATTGAGGACTACACGTTGAGTGCGGTTGATCGGCCAGTTACAAATCCACCTGGTGGTGATGCTGCCTAACCCACATTTTTCTATTTTATCTAGTAGTAGGTTATGGTCTACTTTATCAAATGCCTTACTGAAGTCCAAATAAATTATATCGACAGCATTCCTCTGGTTCAGCAAATCTGAGGAGGATCAGAAGTGGAGTAGCAAATACAAGAACCTATTTATTTGTATCTAAAATAGTTCTTTTTTCACAAACTTGTTGTTTCTTATACCACATTCAGAACCTTCCAGCCCCATTTTACACCACTAGAATAACCAGTGATAATTGTTTGGCAAACAATTTTCAAAAGGGGAATCATTGTCACTGCTTCCGTTATTCTCTTCTCCTTCAACTAATTCACTTCACATAAGTAACCATACAATGTAGAGCAATGATGGTGAATCTTTTGGGCTTGGCATGTCAAAAATTTGGAATATGGCCTAACTTGACTCTGCTGGTATATCATGTCTCCCCCAAACAAAAGGGAAACAATTCTCTATTTCTTTATCTATTTGTATCCTGCTTTTATGATTTTTACAAATAACTCAAGTTAGTGAACGTATCCAACGTCCCTTCCTCCTATTTTCCCCACAACTACAACTTTGTGAGGTATGTTAGGCCAAGAATGTGTGACTGGCCCAGCTGCTTTTGTGGATAAGGTGGGACTAAAAGTCATGGTCCCCAGCTTCTAGCTTGGTGCCTTAGCCACTAGACCAAACTGGCTCCCATTCAGGTCATCCTGAACTATGGCACTTGGTGACAGCACTGAGGTGGGTTCTAAATAGAGGCCTGGGCTTTGACTTCAGTCCTATTGCCACTGCTACCACTCAAAAAGGCCACCTCATGCCATTCTCCAATGAAGGTGAACCTTGGGGACTAGCACAATTGTCCCTGCAGCCCAGTGCTTCCCAGAATCTGTCACATCCTAATAGTGGTGTTCTCTTTTGACAGGCTTTTGGGCCTACTTGAGACTGTTCTGGGTTCACGAAGCCTTCGCTCTGAAGTGACTTAAAGAATGCTCTTCTGCATTTCTATGGTCTCCAAAAACCATAAGAAAGCATGCCCTGTCCTCAGGCGATTTTTGGAGGCTCCAGAAGCAACACAAGAGCAGAGCCCTCTTATGTGACTTGAAAGAAAACGCGGAAGCTACACCAAAGCACAATCCATTCTCACACAACCTCCACAGCCTCCAGAAATCCCATTTTTACATGAGTTTTGGAGGCTCTGAAGGCCATGCAAGAGCATGGTCCTCTCACATAACATTTGCAGCCTCTGAAAATCACAGACTAGGGTATGCTTCCAAGAATACCGTAGTTATCAGTTGAATTCTGGTGTTTCACTCAAAACATTGTGGTCTGTCACCTTCGACATGTGTGTCATAGGTTCGCCATCACATAGCAATAAATGCTCCTTTTGTATATGTGCAAATGGCAGCCTTAAGCCTAGTAGGCAATTGACATTAATGCCTGATAATAATATGTACTCTTTATTTTAAAAAAGCCTGTTGGCTGCAGTTGTTTACCTTCCGTTGGTAGATGGCAATCCAATCGGTGGTTGCAAACCACTTGTGATTCTTGATGTCGTTGACTCCGTTTTTGAGGTTGCCGAAGCGTTTGGTGAGGTCTACCTGTAGCAGGTTACGCAACAGGTCCTTCAGATCTGAGCTGAAGTGGGATGGGAAGCGGACCTGGATGCAAAAAACCCAATATTTTTTTCTGTCTCCAGAAAGACATCTCAAAGTTACAGGAATAGGGTAGGCAGTATGATGTCTCATACTATAGTATATAGCAATCTATTCTCAAATTTGTGCCCTCCTGGAATATTTGGAATGACTAGGCTGGTGGAGAGCACTCTATAGCTTAAGACATTAACACACTTTTGAAATTAGAACATTTACCATGTAACTACAGTTCCATGTAGGTTTTCCAGTACATCTTGTTTTTGAATTCCCAAGCCCTTATTTTTACAAGAATTTCTGCCTCTCGGGAACTTGAAGATGGGAAAAGTACAGATGGTATAATAAGAATTACTGACACAAGAGAAGCAGAAGGATTAAAAAAAAACCTAGCAAAAATATTCCTGCATAAAACTTATAGATTGCCAAACTACTTTACAGAGTAGAATTTAGTATTTAGCTTTCCCTCAGGATAAGCAGAGGGCAGATTGTGTGGCTTGCATTATTCCTGACTCCCAATTGAATGATAATAATCATCTAACATACTACTGAAAAAAATAATTTATTTGCCTGAAACTATAAAAGCTCTGTTAAGTACTAATATTCAAAAACAAAAGAAAATAAATATTTTGAATTCAGGGTTTTAAAATGTAAATGTGTATTTTTACCATTTAGATCTTGGATTCCAGAAAAATAAAACAAAATAAAGCAAAAGTAGATCGTTTAGATTTGAGTTTGGCCCATCTTTTCTCTTTTTCAAGTGGACAAACTGTAGTGGAGAAAGAGTTGCACCAAGTCTAGAAAGCTAAATGTCTTAAGCCAAATCTAATATATGCAAGTCATTAAATTAAATATTTGCCTAATGCGTATAACTGGAATATTTTAAAGAAATATCTGTCATACTTGCAGAAGTTGGTTACTTGATTTATTTAACTTAATTTGCCCCTGCAATAAACTAAGGTGTCAAACATAAGTATTTGAGCAGAATAAAAAGGATTTTTTTTTTCAATTGAGAGAATAACTAAACCAAAAATTCAATTGACTGGGGTTGTGGCAAGGAATTGAGAGGATAATGTTGACAAACTAGCTATTGAAAGATAAGAATGTTTTACATCCTATGCACCACCTACTGCACATCTGCACTTTCTCCAAAATATATTTTGTTTTAAATTGAGAATATAAAATGCAGTTCAGAGATGATAGATAGGAGACTCTAACATAAAAAAGAAAAATTTTCACTGATTAGATTGAGCTGTTACAGTTCAAAAGTACAGCACTAAGTTCTGATATATTTTATATTAACCCAATAAGTTAAAAATAATATCACATGTCTAGCCACAGTGTTAATGTTGTTATTGGGAAAAACTACTAAAACTATTTCTAAAATTTAGGATACTGCTTTGCTGAATGACGCTGTAGGAACTTGTAATACCCGCATGAATTTCAAATCAAAAGCAAATCAAGACAATGGTCCGCATTAAATGAAGCAATAAAACATTATCCTTGATTGTTTATCAATAAAGGTAAGTTTCCTTATAGTAAGAGTTGTACAGAAAGGTTGAAACAGTTTAACTTTTGGCTTATATTCTGCCTCATATGGCAGATGTTTTCAGAGGTAATTTTTTTTTAGAACAATGTGCATAAGCAGGGCCCTTCGAAACTTTTCCAGAAAAGTAGTAAAGGAGGGAGAAGGCAAAAAAAGTTAGAGGCAGATGAACAAAAAATTAGCATATGAATTTTGTTGGGAGTATAGGTTTTTTGCCTAGGATTGGAGTTTCTTTTCTATTTAGTCCTTCCCTGAAAACTCACACCTTCATGGTTACAGTTCAATAAGATTACCCTTTGCCTGGTTTTATTTTCTTAAACATTATGCAGAAAAAGGGAACCCATGCAAATTTCCATACATTTTGTTACTACAGTGAAAGCTGTGAGTAATGCCAAAAAGATAAGTTCAAAATGTTGTCAAAAAAATAGTTTAAAGGTGTCCACTTGCAATCTACAGAACTATAATTACTCTAGCATTTACTTGGCAGGGTAAAGTTATATCCAAGTTTTAGTGAGTATTATAGGTAGTCTTTGAGTTACAAATGGAATGGACCCTGCCCATTCCATTCCTAAGCCGAGGATTTGTGGGAGTGAATCTCATACCTTGAACGGGATCGCTCCCTCATTTTGCCCACACATTTGTTAATTGAATGCGAGGCTCATTAAGTGCACATGAGGTATTTCAGGGGTGGGAAGGCCATCGGAGGCCCAGTGATGGAACAGGCCACCTGCCTAAGACCATCCAAGGCTTCCCCAACCCATTGAAATACCTCATGCTCCTGAACAATTGCTTTCCCCCCCACCCAACCTGCTGTGCTGAGTCACTTACCATGCAAAGATCTAGCAAGCAGTCTCCTTTTCAGCCTCTCAGCCATGTGCACCCCTCCAATGCTCCATTTGGACTTCCGGAGGTCTCCCCTGGCATGTTGCAGGCCGAAACGGAGTGCCGGAGGGGTGGATCTGCCCCTCTGGAGCGCCTTTTCGGCCTGCAACATGCCAGGGGAGGCCTGCGGAGGCCCAAACGGAGCATTGGAGGGACAGATCCTCCCCTCCGGAGCTCCATTTCGGCCTGCAATATGCCAGGGGAGGCCCGAACGGAACTCTATTTTGGCCTGCAACGTGTCGGGGAGGCCTCCGGAGGCCCCAATGGAGCATCAGGAGGATGGATCCGTCCCTCTGGAGCTTCATTTTGGTCTGCAACATGCTGGGGGAGGTCTGCAGAGGCCCAAACTGTGCATCACAGGGACTGATCTGCCCCTCTGGAACTCCATTTTGGCAACATGCAGGATGAATGTTGCCGAGCCTCTGTGATTGTTCGTTAGGGCAAACAACTGCCGTGGTGCTGCAAGATTTGTATTTTTGGGACTTATTCGTAAATGCTAGGGGTTGCTTATTGCATAACTTCAAACGATCACTGTGAACACTCAAAACCAGGAGATTACCTGTGTAAATATATATATATTTTAAAAAATTATTTAATATGCACTCAAGGTAAAGTCTGGATTCTATTCCATGAAAAAAATGACCAATAATGTACAACAGGCGGGTGTAATATCTTGCATGCAGCAAATAAGGCATCTGCTGAAATATTACCTTCCCAGAGACAATTTTCTCATAGATTTGAATGGGCTGGTCTGCAAAGAATGGAGGATAGCCAGCTGCCATCTCGTAGATGAGGACACCAAGAGCCCACCAATCCACTGCTTTGTTATAACCCTGCAACAGGAATAAAAACTCAGATCACAACCAGAAGAAGTGGAATATTCAAAGAGCTGAGGGGTTCCCCCAGCCCTCCCCCAATTTGACCAGGCATAGAACCACAACATACTGTTCATGGACAATGCAGATCACTCACCTTACTCAAAATGATTTCAGGAGCCAAATATTCTGGAGTCCCGCAAAGGGTCCATGTTCGGCCTTTCACTCGTTTGGCAAAGCCAAAATCCGTGACCTGAAGATGAATTTTAAAAATGAGAATTGTCAACAATAAAGGTGATGAGAATGAATGTTAAACACAAATCCAATCTGGGTAAAAGGAATATTTAAGGTCAGAACAGGTAGATTAAGGAGATTTGTTTTGCAAAGATCTCTTAAGAGCAATACCAAGATTTGCAGTACTTTCCAAGATAAGAAAAATGCTATACAGTATTCTTCAGAGTACATTCAATTAGACAGACTATTGTTGGACTGATATATTTCTATTAATCAAATACAAATAATTGGAGGACATGTATCTGTTGTTTGCCAGCAGTTCTATTACATTCATACAAAATTGCTTATGTATAGCAATATTCATTTACTTATACAGTAGTTCCTGCTTACTGACTATTTAGAGACTGCTTGATGTGAGAACAATTATGAAAAAATAACTTTACAGTCCATTTATAACCTTTATAGTTGTCTCTGTCAGCTGGAAAGACCAGGACCACATGTGAAGTTCCAATTAAACTGATTTATTACTATGCATGCCTAGGTATAGGAATCTACTCAATTAACTAGCACTATTTTGGTGCTAGATAAGGGTCAATGGAATTCAAGAGGGAACTGGACTTGTGGCTACATAGATTCTAGGCTGATTCCTCTTTTGACTCTGCCCCCAGGTTCTGCCATTCCTTCTCCTTCCCTTAGTCACATGATCATCATTACAATCGCTGCATGTCCTGTGCCTGACTTATGGTGTTTTTTTCTCTTTCCCCCTTACTTGTTTGGAGAGAAAGGGTTTTGAAGAAAGGAAGCTATTCTGCTCTGTGACGTGGTGGTGGGAGAAAAAAAGCAAGTGATTTTTGTAGTAATCTCTCCTTTGCCTGGTCCTTCCCTGCTTCCAGTGTGATCACATTGATGTTGATGTGTAGAAGAGCAAACAGTTTACTTTCTTGCAATCTTGCAATCAAACAGCAGGAAAAGGTCAGGCAAAGAAGACATTGCCTACAGAAATCACTTGCTTTTTTTTCTCCCCATCCCCTTCATTAAACAAGGAGGTTGGAGAGAAGGAGATTTAAAGAGAGTACTCTAGCCTGCTCACAGTTGCCAGTCCCAGGCTGTGGCACGATTGCATTCCTTTCAATGCGTACAAGACAATAAGCAGGTACTTGAACATTCCAAAGGACAGGGGATGGTTTGGAGGCAAACAAAATCAAAACAAAACCAAAAACCAAAACAAAAGTAGTCCTGTCTCTTTCCAGCAAGAAAGGACTCTTGCAGTCACACGATTTCCCACATAGAAACCCCTTCACTTAGCAATAAGGTTACTTATCCCAATTGGGGTTATTTATTTATTTTTTTTAGAAAATTTATTGGCCGCCCTGAGTTACCTCAGGGTAACTCTGGGTGATTTACAATCATAAAAAAATTAAAACTGTACAAAGATAAAAGCATAAGTAAAATTCATATAAAATAAAACACATAGAGCAGCCCAATTAAAAGATGGGGAGGGTGGGAGCAGGATGGGGGCAAGGAGGGATCTATTTTTAATCTATCAACCCCCTCCACTGTGATGTTATTAAGCAAGCACACTACCTAAAGCTCCAAATAGTCAGATGCAGAAGCTTCGTTCACATATGCTGAGTCAATTTATTTTATTATCTATTTATTTTATTTTAGGAAATTTATATTGCTGCCTGCTTGCACATGGCGACGTTGTTCAGTCATGGCCTGTTAATATAATCTAGTGGTCAGATTTGCATATAATGTTCACTGTGCCAGACTACTGACATGGATAGCAATTCTTAAGAATGCTGAATATGAGTATGAAATTGATAGAAATAGTGCTACCTCAATATAGCCCTGCTGGTCAATGAGGAGATTTTCAGGCTTCAAGTCTCGGTAGATAAGATCTAGTGAGTGCAGGTACTCAAAAGTCAACACAATCTGAGCGGCATAGAACCGGGCATGAGGTTCACTGTAAAAAACAACAACAGGAAAACAGAGAAAAACGTTTTTATTACTGATTTCCAAACAATGTCAGGTAGGCTTTCATTCTACACTGTTCACCAGGGCACTAATAAGGAGCCAGATGTTTCTTTCTCCTTTTTCAACTTTTCAACTTAACTTTTCCATCAATTGTCTTACAAGAGCAACTCTAGACTAAACCTGTGCTGAAGCTTTTTTCTTACTCTGACTTTGCCAATGTTATGCCCAAATCAATCGATAGTCATTTGATGAAAAGTGTTAAGCTCCAGTGACCCTACCAGGCTTGGCCATCTAGCCATAAAACAGTTTCCATCCTATCTTTTGACTTTATCTCAAAATGCATAACTCTGTATCAAAGATTAGCAGGGTATGCAAAAAAAAAAAAAAATGTATAGATTTTCCCCAGATATACTTAAGTAGAAGGTGAAAGAAACTGGAAAAATGATTACTGGGTTAGCTTCCTCCTTTCATACCTGGGAATCAAATATAAGAACTACAATACCCAGTTCCTCTATTCCTACTAGCATAATCACGTCCTTGCAGTGATGAGGCAGCACACCTACCTGAACCTGCCAATCCGTCGTAGATGGGAGAACATCTCACCACCTGGGATGTATTCCATCACCATGTACAGATTTGTATTATCCTGTAATTGAATGCAGAAATAAACTAAGAGTAATAATAACAAGCAGTGCTTTGTTCCCCGCTTCACCTCTGATGATTCCAGGTACACAACTAATCAATTATTACAAAAAGACAACCGGCTTTCTAAAGTAATGCAGTAATGTGCAGAAAGCGGAAGGAAGAAGAATTTCTTGTAAACAGAATTAGTTATCTTGCAAACTGGTGCAAGAAATTAATCCAGGTATCTTGCTTTACAGTTGCAAAGGAATCCCCCCTCCCCTCATTATTTTTACAATGCCTATGGATCTGAGCTGGCTACAGAGCAGATTTTACTGCTTAGAATTCAATATCAATATGTTTTACCTCTTTTGTCATGACTAATTTACTAGAGATATGACAAACAATTCAATCTTACAAATGTTCCAATTCATGAACTAGATCGATCTGATTTTACCAAAAACATTCCAAGCTAATTTACAGAGTACTCCAACCTTCATTTTGCTGTTGGAATAGCAAATTGTTCCAAAAGTGGAACATTTTGCATTGTTTACTTTTCTCCAATCTTTATACTTATTTAATTTTACTTTACTTATTTCCATCTATTCCCTTTGTGTATAAGTGCATTGTTCCTTCCCCACCAGCAATGTCTATACTTGAAAACCTGAAATACACACACACACACACACACACCAAAAATATTTATTTGTTTATTTAACTTATATGGCCACACAATTCAAAAACAAGTCTGGGCAACTTACAAACAACTTAAAAACAATAATAATGGGAGAAGCAGAAAAAAATTGCCAGAGGACCCCAATCAATATACTACAGTGCCTTTAGAGATGGATTCATTCAACACTCTGGCCCATCATGCATAGTTTTTCCACAACCTTAATAAAAGCCAATAGGGCTATTCAATTTTGGGAGGGTTTTTTTGGGGGGGGGGGAGATATGCTGTTCCATAGGGCAGGTACCATGTCAGAGAAAGCATTCTTCTTGGAATTCATTAGTTGTCATGGCTTGATGGAAGGCACCAAGAGCATGTCAATTTTGTTGGATCTGGTGGACTGAACAGAATTAATAACAGATAGATAGTCCACAAATATCTTGTGCCATGAAGGGCTTTCAGAGTAATAACCAGCCCTTTGAATTGTCCCAGAAGCCTCTGGAGCCCAATGTAGTTTGCATATGGTGGTGTAATATGGATACACTGGGACATGTCCAGTCTCTAATTACCCACTATCCAAATTCTGAACCAGTTCAGCTTCTAAATACAGTTCAAGGAGAGCCCCATGTAGAGTATATTAAAGTACTCCAAGCAGGAGGTGACTAAACCATGAGGGGCTAAAGTTATTTTATGGCTCAGTTGTGCTGATTCCTGGATTGGAAGGTATCCCAATCCAGGAATTAGCACATCTGAGACATAAGATAAAATTTGCAAAGATTCTCCTGTCCACAGTTGCCACTTGCTTTTCCAGGAGGAACTGAGAGTTCTCAAACTGCACATCACTTCTGCCTGGGGGAATGCCACTCCACCCCTAATGAAAGATGGAAAATCTGCATAAAACGCCTAGCCACTGAATCTTATTGGAGTTAAACCAAAGCCTGTTTCTTCCTATCCAGATCACTATAGCTTCTAATACTGAGTCAAACCTTGATAGCATCGCTTGTTGACCAGAGGTAGAGATGAGTAACCAAGTATTATCAGCATACAGATATGGTGATCTTACTCCATGCCAGCAGATGAGTTTGGTCAGTAAATTAATGTAGATGTTAAATAAGAGCAAGACTCCACAGAGCAGGAGACTAGGCATTAAACTGGGGCCAAATTAATATATTCTTTTAATTGTTCTTAATGTTTGTATTGTATGTATTGTATGTTTTTATCTGGCTGTACACCGCCCTGAGTCCCTTGGGAGAAGGTGCGGTATATAAATTTGAAATTAAAAATAAATAAATAAATAAATAAATTAGAATCAATCTTGGGGAAAGAAGAAGAATCACAGTAATTTAAGTCTGTCCATAAGGATACCATGACGAATGGTATCCAAAGCTGCTAAGAGATCAAGGAAGGTCAGGATGAATGCACTATCCCTCCAGAAGTTATTCACAAGTATGATCAATGCCATCTCATTATTAAGCTCAGACTTGAAACAGGACCTGAATCCATATCATCCAAAATTCTCTGAAGTTGCAGCCTAACCACCTTCTCTACAACCTTGCCTAAAAAGGGAAAACTGGAAACAAGATGAAAGTATCATTGGGCCCAATTATTGTTTCTTGAGAAGGGGACAGGCCACTGCCTCTTTAATGGCAGATGAACCACCATCTACTTCATCCCGTGGATGAAAACCAGCACTTGGACTCAACAACACATCACCTTCAAGCAGCCTTAGCCACCTAGGAATGATACAGATGTTAATACACAGGTGGCCAAGCTCACAGTCCTGACGACTCTGTCCACTTTCTCGGGACCAATGGGCTCAATCTCTTCCCAAATCACAGTCAGACAGACCATGACTTAATCAACTCCATAGGAACTGCACTACTAGAATTCAACTTAGAGCAGGCAACTTCACCCATTGGATGCTTAGAATGCAGCCCTGCAAACTGTTCTTCGTCCTTATTCATTTATACCACATATGTGCACAAACTAAATTCTGGCTTGACAGCAGATTGTATTTAAAAGCAGACATTTTACCTTCATTTTCTATGAAAGATATTTTCATACTATTACAAGAGTTCTAGAAAAATCTCTTTAAAATGAGTCACTAATTAACCAAACGGCAAACTCAGTTCTATTTAAATAGTGTAAAGTGGTGTGCATTACCCCCCAAACCAGTAAATTTTCTTATACGGAAATTGGGTCTGAGCTGTATGCAACTAACAACAACAAAAAAAAGACTCTAGAGGTTGCAGATAAATGAAGGTCAACTAAGTCTGTAGCAGCTGTGAAAAATGCAAATTTTCTACTAGGAATCATTAGAAATGATACCAAAAATAAAACTGGCAACAATTGGGATATTGCTAGGAGTCAAGCAGCATATAAATTTAATAAAAATAGTAATATTATATTTTACAATTATAGCTGCTATGTTTAAAAAAGTGATATAACAGAGTTGGAATAAGTACAAATGAGGATAACTAAATGATCAGAGAATTCAAATATCTTCCCTTCAAATTGATCCCTAAAATCAATTGAAAAGAAAAACAACTATATTAGATTGTGTAAAATCAGGCATGGCATGGACAAAGCAGACAGGATTTTTCCTCACATTCTCAAAACGCTAGAGCTAGAGGTAATCTAACAAAGCTGACTTAGAAAGTGACTAGAACGGACAAAATAAATACTTTTTTTGGTCAATTGATCTGTGGAATTAAATATTATAAGACATGATAATGGCCACTAGGAACACAAATAAATAAACAGACAACAAATCTAGTATGGGCTATCAAATACCAGTTGTAGAAGAACAATGGAGGAAGAGGGATATGTTGCCCTCAATTGTCTATGTCACATCAGTGATATATGGAGGTCATTATGAAAAACAGAACGTTGGACTAGAATAGACCTTGGCTTGATAACTACAGGTAGTCCTTAACTTACAACCATTCGCTCAGTGACCATTTGAAGTTTCAACGGCACTGAAAAAAGTGACTTATGACCATTTTCCCCACTTATGAGTGTTGCAGCATCCCCATGGTCACATGATCAAAATTCAGATCTTGGCAATTGACTTTTGTTTATAACAGTTGCGGAATCCCTAGATCATGTGATCACCTTTTGCAACCTTCTGACAAGCAAAGTCAATGGGGAAGCCAGTAACAAACATATTACTAACTTAACAACTGAAGTGATTCACTCAACAACCATGGCAAGAAAGTTTGTAAAATAGGGCAAAATTCACTTATCTTGCTTAGGGATGGAAATTTTTGTCAATTGTGGTTGTAAGTTGAAGACTACCTGTATTCTATGTCCTTAATGCTATTGCAACCTTAAGAAGTAACATAAGAACCTATTGATTACCACCTCTATTTCAGTTCTATACATTACTACACAGTTCAGTTCTACACATTATTCTCATCCGCAATGGGACAAATTAGATATGCACAGATATGTTTTAATGTAAGACTTCAGTCCTAAATATTGCTGTTAGGAAGTCACTGCCATAAGTTTAAAAGTGACTAATTACTAAATAAACAATTGTTTAGAATCAACTTTCAATTCTTATCTCTAGAATCAACACATGTTATACAATATACAAGGCTTGTACATCATGTGTCTCACCAAGGAATTTTGTGCAGCCTGGAGGGTGTTTTTAACAAAGTAATAAATTCACTATTACCCACTGTCCCAAAAGATGCACTGCCAAGCATCTCTAAGCTTTATCACCATTTCCAGCATTGCCATTACTTAGTTAGTTATGGAAAAGCAGATTGGCAGGAAGATATTCCTTTAGAGTTCATGGTGATTTTTAATTTATCAATGTGGCCCTTTCCCTTCTACAAGTTGTACAGTTCTGATACTGCATAAACTACGTACAACATCTCAGGCAGATTGAGTCATTAACACTGGTATTTTATTGTCAAGGACTGCAATGCTTGGGGAAATATCTAGCACAGATCTCAATTGGGCATGTTTTCAGACAAGTATTAAGCTCATAATCTTAGCTCAAGGTTGTGCAGAAGGTAGATCAGGATGTTCTGGTAAGCCTTTTGGTGATTTCCAATAGAAAAAAGATGACTCGTTGCTCCTAGATGTTTAACACCAGTAACAACTCTCCTTCAATCATAAATTAAAATATTGGCATAAAACAAAGTTTGGACACAGAAAGTGATTAACCCAGAGAGGATTTTTGTGTGGGAAGGTCATTAGCTTGTTATTCTAGTGCTCAGGACACATTCTTGGACTCATAAGTCTTTCATGTTAGATCTATTCTTCTGCATCTGGTGGACCTCAAGGGTTTTTTTTAGCAAAACCCAGACACAATACAAACACAGCTTAGCCCATCTTATGTTATAAACATGGAGAATACCAGAAGGATTTTAAAACTCATTTTGCACTTTACAGCAAAGATAGGTTGAGTTTAATGGCTTTTTATAATCTGGTCTGACAGGTGTGTTAACTAACAGAAACTCTTAGAGCAGGCCTGTCAAACTGGCGGCCCGCAGGCCGGATGTGTCACACACAGGCCACACCCACCCAGGTTCCACAAAGGCAAAAAATGTCACGATATGTCACAATACATCACGTGACATGATTGAGTTTGCCATCCGTGCCTTAGAGCATTTGGAATGGCCAAGCCTTTAAAGCATATGATCTTGTGTTATGTATCCTAAACCTATGTGCTCACTATAGCAGTTTCATATTGGTCATTTCAAAGTATTTTTTCTAGGCTGCCCCTATGAAATTGTCACTAAGACAGTTTATGCACATTTCAGAATACTGCACATTCATTTCAGGGGCAGACTTATTTCCAGGACTGGCACTTCAACACTGAGAGCTGTTATTTCCCTTCTACTACATGCAGAAAATTTATGATAAGTATAAGTTTTGCTAAGTGTTTGTATGTGTTTTAATTGCAAAGGACACTACATGAAGATACTCACTGTGTTCATCTGCTCATTGCCTCTAGAAAGGAAAATTCTTCCTTGGAGCCAAATTTCTGATCACTTTGGAGCAACAGATGTTCAGAGAATTAGAAATCCAGCAGGTGAGAGAGAAAGACTGTTACTTGACATCACCTACCTTGAAAGAATACTCTAGCCTGACAAGGAATGGGAAGTTCACAGCCTGAAGAATGCGTTTTTCATTGAGGGTGTGCTCAATCTGCTTCAGTTTAACAACCTACAATACAGAAACGAGATCAAGTCAGATACAACTTTCTCTTCAAACCTGCTTTGCAAAGCAAAGATCATCAGCACATCCAGACTCACTTTCTGCTTATCAAGGATTTTCATGGCAAAATAATTTCCAGAGTCCTTGTGCTTCACAAGCATCACCCGCCCGAAAGAGCCTGTACCCAGGGTCTTGAGCCGGTCGAAATGATCCAAACTGGATGTGTTCTGCAAAAGGAGAAAGAAAGGGGGGGGGAAATGGCTTTGTATAACAGGCTATAGCTATTACATTTGGGGAGACAAAGCTTCAAGTTGTGAGATGATTAGGTTTTGTCTGATTGATAGCCCTCTTCATATCATAGGGGATTTCAAAGGCCTCTACTTTTATGTTCGGGCCAAGCGTTCAACTATTACTTTCATCTATTATCAATATCTTATGTAGGATTTGGAAGAGTTAGGATTCCACCACTAGAGGGCACAAGATGTAAATCCTTTCAGTAGGCTAGTAGCACATACACTACAAGCAAACTTAATCCACCAAGAGTAGATTAATATATATATTATCTCTAGCCAACAACACTTATCAAAAAGTAAAATAACACCACCAAAACCTGGAGTTTGTAGTCTAACAGTGTAATACTTCCCCAATGTGCTAGTTAGGCAACCAGGCATAAAGCAGATAGTGGAACAGAGAAAGAAAAAAATACTGCCTATCTTAGACTCTGAGGTTGAGAACTACATTTTGCTACTTAGAACATGGTCTGCAGGCGACAATATTTTTGAACAGTTTGTATCATCTGTCCACTTGTGGTACATACAACCATCCTGATAAACACTGCTGATCCTTAGTGATAGATAGCTTCCACAAACTAAATTTATGGAAAATAATGTCCTTCAAAGAGAAAAAAAGAATAGAATAGAATAGAATAGAATAGAATAGAATAGAATAGAATAGAATAGAATTCTTTATTGGCCAAGTGTGATTGGACACCTAAGGAATTTGTCTTGGTGCATACACTCTCGGTGTACATAAAAGAAAAGGTGTTATATATTTCAAGATTATTTACATATAAAACACTAAACAAACTTTAAATTACAAGATCAGGAATCTGAACTATGGGTAAATTTCTAATTATACAGTAGTGAGATTGAACATTTAACACTGATTCAAAGCTGGTTCCCTGGATAGAGCAATTTAGTGTTCATATTAACATCAAAATATTTTCATCTGGTGTAAGTACTAGTAACCGAGGTTTCTGACGAGTTCTTTCAAAGACTAGCTCTTTGAAAACAACAACAGCCACAGTTAAAGAATCAAAGCAAAAAGTTTTCATACCTCTAAAATTAAAGTTTTGTAAAAAAAACTATTTGCCACCTTTCAGATTTTCTGAAAACATGCTAAATACCAGTATGAAATAATAATCAATGTCCTACATTCAGTAATTGCATTACAATATCTTTAGTTTCTATAAATGCATTCAAATGTTTCTTGTAATTAGTCATTAAGGGTATCCCATTCCTGGGTTTATTTCTTCATGGCAAATTGCTTCTATTCAACAACATTAGATGATTTTCTAGCATAAAATGTTTGTTTCAAGTGTTGCCACAACAGTTCGGTGGGGTTTAGGTCTTTTATTTGACCATCTACAACTGAATTTGTTCTCCTTCAATCCATTATCTTGCACACTTGCTTGACAACTTTAGGATTACTATCTTCCTGAACCATTTGTATTTCAGTTTTCAGACAGAATGTGGAATTATGAAATACAAATAGAATTCATGCTTCTTCCATGGGTGCAACTTGTCCTAGTCCTGGGACAACAAAATATTGCAAAGCCCTCTACCACTCTAGGTCTGACAGTTGGCATGAGATTCATGAGATAATCATGAATGCAATGAATAGTAACCACCATACTTATAGCACTTAAATAGCCCGAAAAGTCTCACTTTTGACTCATCTGTGCATAGAACATTCCTCCATTAAGTGTGGACAGTTATCTAAATGATTTTTTTTGCAAAACTATAGCAAATACTGATGTTCTTCTTAGTGATCAATGGCTTCTGCCATGTTACATTCCCATTTGTACTTCGTGCTTTTCTGATGGTGAAACCATGAACTCTAATTTTAGACAAGTGAGAAAAGCCTCTAAATCCCTTAATGTTCTTCTAGGCATTTTTGTGACTTGGTAAGATTTCGCTATTATCTCAAATTCAGTCTTCAAGACTAGGTTTCCTTCTGTGATTTGGTGAAATTTCAGAGTTTGAAAATGGTTTTGTAACTTCTTCCAAACTGGTTGGGTAAATAAATAACTACATTTTACTGAGAATTTTGGAAATGTGAGCATATTATGATGTATCTCTAAAATCTATGTAGTGAAAACTTCATAGGGTGATGGGAGCCAAAGTTTGTCAGATTGGACAGAGCTGCTCCCAAATAGCCTCAATTATTTAATGTAGAACTCACTCCCATATAGCCTTTATTTATTTAGGAAATTTATATGGCCACCTATATATACAAAATTCTGGACTGCTAACAATTAAAGCAGAATAAAAATAATAAAAACAAGGGGAATAAATAATAACAGAAATAGCAAAAAACAGCAGCCAAGAACTCTCAGACTTACCAGAAAACAGGCTCACTCCTAAACACTCAGCATAACCACAAACAGGCTTATCCATATTTATCAGGGCCCCAGGCTTAATAACAAAACTATGCTTTTAGTGACTTGTGAAAGGCCAGGAGGATCATTTCTGAGTGGGTGATGTTCCAAAGGATGAGTCCCAAAGCAGAAAAAACACTTCTTCTGGGTCCCAACAAATGACTTTTTATCATGGATGGGACCCAGAGTACGCCTCTCTTGCTAGATCTAACAGGATGCATAGGCCCCAGTGGAGAGAGATGCTCTTGTAAGCCTGGAAGGGTTTTTTTAATAGGTAACCACCAGCAACTTGAAATGCATACTGGTATCCTTTCAGCTGAACTGACTGATGGAGGTAGGATGATTATTTTTTCATATTGACTATATTACACGTTGGATGATTCTGTTATGAAATAAATGAAACCATTTCCAAACTTTGGCGGGTTTTGTTTCCTTTGAGTATCCGTTGGACCCATATGAAGCTCTCATAAAGAGAATGCAAAGATTCAAAATATCTGAAAGAAGTTTTATAAAAACTGTACATCTACATCATAGCACTGGTTTTTAGGTGTGCCAGCATTTTACAAGACATTAGAATTCTTGACAAACTTGTTTAAATGCAGTTTCAGTCCAATGGAAATTTAATAATTTGTGGTTCCCTTTACACACCCATTGTCATTTTAAAATTGGGCTGAAGAACAATTTTCATTTCATTATTCCTACGGGAAAAAAAGAAGAGTTGACTATGAGAAATGCAAAGGTATCACCATACCTGTGATGGATTCTCCCATTTCTTAAGGAATTCTTCTTTGGCTTTTGCAAGAAACTCCTTCACTGTAAGAAAGCAGAGGGGAAGAAACAATGTTGAAAAGTAAGAAAGATGCTTGAAGACCTCAATGGTTGAATAATATAAATTGAGGAGGCTTCAATGGGAAGCAAGAGTCCCTTTTTAACAAGGATTTGTCTCTCACTCACTCCTTTGAGTGGCATATTGATGAATACTAGATTCATTCATTAGACCAGAAGGAGCTTCTTTTAACAAGTCTGACTTGTAAGGAGTCATTGTTTCCAGGATTGTAGAAAATAGCATACATACATCTCTCCAGGATTCAGCTATTATACTCTGGATCAGAAATGATCAACGATTGATTAATGGCTGAACACATGATAAAAACTTACCTATTAAATCCATATTACTCTAAGAGCCAATCCAATCCAAATAATTTAAAAAGCTACTGTCATCAGCTGTTCTAGATTACAATTGCTCATAGGCCTAACAGCATAATACTTAATAGGTTGAATGTGTTGCAAAAATATGGATGGCCATTAGATGGCAGGAAAAAGCTACAGAAAACATTAATTCTTTGGCACTGATTTTTGCAGCTCTAATGTAATGTCCTAATATTGGGGAGGTATCATCATTTATTTATTAGAAACTTCCCCCAGAGATGCCACCAAGATGATAAATTAAACCAAAATACAGGTAGTCCTTGACTTACAACCACAATTGTCCCAAATTTGTTGTTGCTAAGTGAGACATTTGTTAACTGTGAGTTTTGCCCCATTGTACAACCTTTCTTGCCACAGTTGTTAAGTGAATCACTTCAGTTGTTAAGTTAGTTATATGTTTGTTACTGGCTTCCCCATTAACTTTGCTTGCAAAAGGTGATCACATGACTTAGGGATACTGCAACTGTTATAAACAAAAGTCAGTTGCCAAGCATCTGAATTTTTATCACATGACCATGGGGATGCTGCAATGGTCATAAGCATGTAAAATGGTCATAAGTCACTTTTTCAGTGCCTTGTAACTTTGAACGGTCACTAAACGAACTGTTGTAGGTCAAGAACTACCTGTACATTAAAACACCATTTAAAACTACAAATAAAATTTTTAAAAAATTAGGATTGCCTTACTTAAAAATTTAATAAATACTAATACTTGGTTTAATAAATACTAATAAATACTAATACTAATACTTGGTTTGCAAAATGCTGAGAGAACAAAGACCAATCTTATCTCTTTTTATATGCCACATACAGTTTCAGGGATCCCAGACATTTAATTGAGAGCAGGCAACTGCTACAGTATGACCAAGTGAGGTACAGACCAATGGTGGGTTTCAAAATTTTTTACTACCAGTTCTGTGGGTGTGGCTTGGTGGGCGTAGCAGGGGAAGGATACTATAAAATCTTCATTCCCACCCCACTTCAGGGGAAGGTTACTGCAATATCCCCATTTCCTCCCGATCAGCTGGGACTCGGGAGGTAGAGAATAGACGGGGGCGGGGCCAGTCAAAGGTGGTATTTACCGGTTTTCCGAACTACTCAAAATTTCCACTACCGGTTCTCCAGAACTGGTCAGAACCTGCTGAAACCCACCTCTGGTTCAGACACTTTGAGCTCTCATTCAGGTCTCAGAAAACAAACAAATTAACAGAATTAAAGATGCAGCGGTGAACCCACTAGCTATTAAGACTAAAAAGCTTTTTTTCTCAGATGGCAATTTCCAAATTCAAAACTTGGAATTTGGTACAACTGCTTTTATCACTGGAAGTTTCATGCATACTCTCTAGTAGCTGCACACGCAAACCAGATTATATCCAAGATTTAGCACTTCCCCGTTCAAGGTGTGCAGTTTGAAGATCATCCTGAACTCACAGCCCCTGTTCAAAGAGCAGGTGGCAGTTGTAGCCAAAAAGGCCTTTGCACATCTCTATCTGGTGTGCCAGATGCACTTCTTCCTAGATCAAGAGGTCCTTCAGGCAGAAGGATGCCCTGGTAACCTCATAGCTTGAATATCACGTTTCTCATGTGGCTCTTCGCAAAACCATTCAGAAGCTTCAACAAATCCAGATGCAAAGGAACGGGCAGTGGTGGGCATGTTTTGGGATGAACACATAAAAGCTCTATTTTGTCACCTGTGTACTTCCAGCTGATTCCAGCTGCTGGTTATTATCTACAAAGCCCTACACAACATAGGGCCGATTATTCAAGAGACTGCCTATCTCCCAAGGTTTCTGGCCAGCTGCAATTCTGTTACATTGGCTATCTTCTGGAATAAGAGCCCTCCTGAGATCTGTAAGTATTTATTATCCCAGCAATGCTTCAGTTGAAAAAGCTTTTCTATCAAACTATAAGACCACACAGTTAGGACTCATTGACATAGATTAATTTTGAGAAAGCCTATTCATAAAGAAAGATAAACTCCCAATAAAATAGAATCCTGGAAGAATCAGGACAGACAAAAGGAAGATTTTTCTTTTTTATACTGCACATAATTAAACTTTTGAATCTGCTACCACAAGCTTGACTGGGTGCAAAAATGGTTTGGACCAATGGATAGAACTAGAAGTCATGGGAATCAATGTCTATTAGCCTTGATAGCAGTGGGGGTGCTTCTGAAGGCCATTCTTGGAAGACTAGTGAGAGTGGCAGCTGGTTGGCCACTGAGTACAGAAAGCTGGACGAGTTGAGCCAGAGATCTCATCTAGCAAGCTATTTGTTATGCACTTATGTTTCTAAGGCAATGTCTACAGTAGTGGGAATTCCAGAGCTAGACAGGCTTTCCAAAAACCATTTGAGGGTATGATGGAGAGATCTTTCTTCCTAAATAGTAGGAATCCAAAAATCCCAGTCCTTTTTCTCTGCTGTAATTACACCACAGTAAAATAAACATAATTAATGTTGTTACCTTCATGTGCAAATCTGGAAGAGAAATAGAGCCCACAACTTAATTACTTAAATTATTTAAAACTACTATTTAAACAATTTGGATTGGTTATAAGACAAATAATCATATCCTCATTCTGTCCGTTATGTAAGCTTTATATAGCTCTTGATTATAAACTTTTGGGTTTTGCCCTGCAATAGCTCAAAGTTTATGGAGATCTGCCAACATAAGAAGAATAGGCTTTAGAAAGCAAAGGGTGTAGCTCTAGGCTGAGTCTGTACAGCTTAAGTGATCAGGCAACTAACTCCTCATGCCAAAGTCTCCATCTGAGCGATGGCATCTTGCCAATGTTACAATTAGGAAATGGAAGACAAATTTTACAAGACAAAACTAAGTAGTACTGCTTGAATCGTAAGGGGTGGGTGTCTATTTACGCTCACACTGCTGTATTAGGGAAATCTCCAAACCGTAGTTATTCTAAATATATTAACTTACAAGTTGAATCCTCAGGGGCCCACTATTAGGGACAAACATATTACAGTTTACTTAAAATGGGATGGAGCAGTAAAAAAAGCCCTTCCCAGTTCTATACTAGATACAGAAACATGGCCTGGAAGTACATTCCCAGAACCCTGACCCTCAACTCTTTTTCACACACATACATTTTCTCTTCACTTACTGAAAGAGGTTTGTATGACCATTATTATTGCTAGAAAAAAGGGCTTTTCATTCTTTCCTATATCACAGGACTGCCTTTTCTTCCAATATGAAACCCAGAAGGCAAATAAATAAATTAAAAAAAAAATCCTAAAATACCTGGTTTTGCAAGAATTGCACTAAGCCACCTGGCTGCTGTAAGAACAATGCTGCTGAGCACAATCAGTGATGTTTCCACACCAGTCCTCCCAATTCCTTCACAATGCAGCAGAGAAGTTTTCCTGAGCCACGCAGACATGTAATTGCAGTTCACAGCCTATCTGACCTACTTTTATCTTTTTTTACTTACAGAGAGACACTAGCCTACTTTCTTGCAGTCTTTTTCCCACTCCTCACACCAATTTCTTGTGTTACAGAGAAAAATCGGGCATTTTGTTCTCTTGTGCATGCTCTCCTCGTATTATGCTTAGGCTCCATATGACCCATCCAGATTAGCAGTTCCCTTCTCTACCTCAGGTCATTCGCTTCTTGTATAACCAGAGGGGTCTGAGTTTACGGAAAAATATCACAAGCCTTAAGGCCAGATTCAACATTGGGTCTAATTTGACCCCCACATTAGGCAGGCAGTCATGCTGGCACAACATGAAACAACTTCCAACTAAACCCTCACATATATTCCCTTATTATCTTAGCAGGGGAAGAATCGAACCATTGTGAATCATAAGATTCAGCAGTATATAAATTTTAAATGGTAAAATCCTTAGCAGTGACTGTATTCTTTAAGCAGAGCAGTTGGACAGAGTGGGAACGTTGGAATGAAAGACAAACTCCTCACATTTGAGTTCAGTCCATGACAAAGTTCATGCTACTTGCTCGTAAAGAGCTTCCAGGTTAGAGAAAATTAAAAGTTCATAAACATCATTGTATACAAAGATGTGTCTTCATAATAGAAATACATTAATAAAGATGAAATGCTTAAGAGTCAGATATTCCTTTTTCCTCCCTTATATATGAGTCTGAATTCTTAGAATTCAGATGGCCAACCAGGACAAACTAAAGTTACCCCAGAAATTTGATGTGAGCAACTGACCCCCTGCTGTTGTTGTTTTTTTTTTAATTTGATTTATATGCCGCCCTTCTCCGGAGACTCAGGGCAGCTTACAATGCGTTAAGCAATAGCCTTCATACTTTTGTATGTTTTATACAAAGTCAGCTTATTGCCCCCACAATCTGGGTCCTCATTTTACCTACCTTAGAAAGGATGGAAGGCTGAGTCAACCTTGAGCCTGGTGAGATTTGAACTTGCAGTAATTGCAGGCAGCTGATGTTAATCACAATGCTTTAGTCTGCTGCGCTACCAGGGTTGTTCATTTGTAATTTATTTTTTCTTTTATTTTGGAACACAATCTAACCTTAAATCATTGATTGTGATCACATAGCCCTCTTAAGCTGGTTCCTAAAAAATCCCTTTTCTTAGTTTGCACATTCTCAGCCTAAGGGAGAG